GGTGGGGGGGGGGGGTAAGGAAAGGAAAAAATAAAAAAGGATAACAGTATGAGGATGACAGCGGGACCCATCAGCGGATGGACGCGCGCGCGCGCGACAAACGAGCACAAGAATTGTAAGGTAACGGGACCATTCTCCAGTAAGGAGTACAAAGTACACTCTGGGCACAACGAGCACTGGAACCGCAGGGCTCGATCTATGCGCCGAGCTCATCTGGCCACCCGTACGATAGCACTAAACCCACGAGGCTGAGAGATAAAGGGCATACGAGATGGTAGGGCGAAATGTGCTCTTCACCACATCACGGTGTAGAAAACAAAGTATTAATCAGGTTCACCAAGGAAACAGCCCAAGGCAACCATGGCAGGGTGACAGACGGGCGGATGAAATGCCTTCGGAAACCCCACCTACTCAAGTTGCCCCTTCCAGAAAATTAGAGAAGCCTTTCAAGTTTCGTGCGGATTTGACGCGGGCGGGCGTGAAAAATGTTATCGATAAGAACCCGTCACAGTGGAACTGGCCCCACTCGAGTAAGGTGTCGACACTTTTTCCCCGCATGGCTGACAGGGGCGGTGCAGAAAGTCTACGGACCAAAGGAGGAATGAACTGGTAGTGGTGATGGTGGTGGAATTTTGTTAATTTAGCTGGTGATTTGCATTTTGGGGCCATTAATTTATGTGAAATTGGGTTCGTCCTTGGTTATTTTATTGCACTCCCGGTGCATGGATTCCCAGATGAAGCCTAGACTAACTATGGAGGGATCACAGAGTGCAAAGTGGAGCACGGAGCCAAGGATAACAGGTCGTTTTTGTTTTATTTCTTCTCTTCTTTAGGAAAGTACGGGTACTTGTGCCCTGTAGCAGATACAGGGCTCAACCCTACCGTATTTACGATCGAAAGCATGATACCGGGGGTGGATATCTGCCGTATGAACCCGAATAAACGGATGCTAGAGCGTCGGAGCTGCCTCTCCTCGTAGGATCTGGCATTTTTTCCCGTGCTTCTTGCCCCTTCCCAGGGGAAGAAATTCTGGACTACCGTATCTCATGTGGTCCGTTTATTCAGGTTCCCAAAATGTCTGCTTCTGGAGAGACGAAAGTGCTATTATTAGTATGACAGGATAGCCGTCCGGCGGCACAGGGTGGTACAGGGGTAGATCATGAATCCATGGTACTCGAGCACAGAGCAGGGGTGATTACCCTCCTTTGTGCACGGAATTTTGGGACGCTGGAAAAAGCATGCGTTCCGATCAAGGGTCATCAATAGTGATGAAAATGGTAATTAAAAGGGAAAAAATCTACCATAATCGGTAACTATTGGCTGTGATCAGAGTATGTTTCCCTTGGTTTCTGCTTTATTGAATTCAGTAGCTCTTACTTGGATAAAGTTATTTCACCTCTCCCATGGGCGCTACAAGTATAACTTACTAGTACAAGTACCATTGCTAGCCAACCTCTGATCCCTGCCTTGCACCACGAATTCGCGATCTACCCTTGCACTATTCGGAGGGGTAATTAAAAATCTGAATGATCGTCTAGATTCACTACTCAACCCCCAGGCCACATCAAAAATTGGGAACTAAAGGTCATGCAGGGGGCACTAAGAACCAGGAGCGGCTACCAAGCTTGATATCCCAAGAAAAACATGGTAGGAGCCGATAATAGGAGGTGTAAACCAAAACTAGAAGTGGCCCAATTTTATGTGAGATCGCTGCGACAATAGAAGTTCCCTCTAGACCTTCGGATCTCACTGCATCAACACAACTGATCCGAGTTTTGACTTCTGCAACGTTGTGCTTCTTTTTAGACAACATGATCGTCCTGCTAAATAATCCCTATATCACTACTGGGTAGTTTCCGATTTCTAGTGACTCCTCCGAACACGGTACGGGTGGGGTGCGGAGCCGTACTAGTGTTAGCCTGGACAACATCGATTCAAACCCTTGTCTGCGAGTAGCCGTGGGTATTTTTTACGAGTACTCGTACTGCAGAGTAGGATTGCAACAAATCTGGATGCGTGCATACATAAAATTGGGCTCAGATATTTTTGCTAGGGGAAGGGATAAACCGATGAACGAAATGAGTAACTCTCATAAGATAGATCCTCAATATGCCTTCGCCGGGTGGTAAATAACGAACGAGGGAGAGAAGGAATCACCGCCGGCCTACTTTGTCCCTCCACTTATGGTGCCAACACGCTAGAATCAACCCTGAGTGCTACCCAGATTCGGAGTATTAGTTCTAATATAGCATCTGACCTTGCTGCTTTAGGTTATACCTCGGTACCGGTATACTGCTCAGCCAAATCGGTTTCCCTCCATACCGGTATTATCATGCTAACCTGTGGAGCCTATCCAAACTTTGCCTTAGCTTTGGGGGCCGCGGGTGTTATGGCGAGCATGACCGCTCCAAAATAAAATCAGCTGCAAAAATGGTTTTCACATGGTTTAGAAACATTATACGGGTGTTGTGGTAGCATCTGATGCTCGAAAGTTGGGAAAAATCGGTTGTGGCGAAAGTTAATTCTAAATCGCTGGCAGTGTACCGTGTGCAGGGGGCAGAGGCCCGGGAGAGAAGGAGGTTGTGCGGGAACCGGGGCGAAAAACCAAGATGTGCCTCTACCGGGTATCCACTCTAGCTAAGGTACTGAGCCGAGTTGTGATGATGCGAAGCATTGATGAACCTATCACATGTTTATTAGAGCACTTCGTGGTATCAGTAGTAACTGTTGCGAGGTGACTTTCCTCCTCTTCTGAACTGGGTTTGGTAATCTTCCGGTGGCATTAACTTCTCTCACGCCGTACTATGATAGTACTGGTACTTTAACTTATGCTGCTTTCGCTTGCGGCCCGACGAGAGCTTAACCCACCGGGTGGCACGAGCTCGTATTGTGCTGGTATCACCTCCAATGTGCGATCGTACGGAGTGAATAGCGTGTATTAACTGGAGGTTGGTCAAGGTAGTTAGACTACCGGCACTTCGCAACTCCTTGGCCCCATGCCTCAATCGCCCGGGAGCTGTACTCGAGTACAAGTGGAGATATCCTACCGTATTCGAGTACAGTACCAAGCAGTAATCACCGTCCTGGGAGCCTGCAGCCACCGGCCGTGCTACTCGAGTACACATCCGTTGGACACCCGCGGCAACTGTCGTTCCGATCATTTGCTTGATGACTGAATTAGTGCAACTAACTTAGTTCTCTTACACGTGTATAACACTCAACACTATGTTCCCCCAGAAGCACGCGCCCAGCCCGCCTTCTTTTTTGTCATTCTTGGGCGGAAGGCCACATTCGGTGCACTACGACATCACTAGTCCGGGAGAGTCGGAGCGGCCGGTAGGGTGAGCACTCGAGTGCAATATTGCTAGGTTATGGGCGGAAATCAGCCCGTCGACACATGTCAGGTTTAGTTTGGGGGCTAAGAGAACTACGGATACCGGTTAATGAGTTCTGGCACATTTAGTGGGCCAATCTTATGCTGTTCCAGAAAAATTTGTGTTTGTACAGCTAGTACTTCTCAAGGTCCTTTGTCTTTGAATCCGGAGATTACAGGGCCGGCGGAGAGAGTGAGTTTCGAGAGATTTTAGGGTACTCCAGAATACAGCTGGATGCTTGCCAACCCCTGGCAATCGGTCTTCTTCCCATTTGAATTTGAACGAACGCCTTTGCAACGCCGGCCACGGCCGTTCTGATTAATAATTCCGGCGTGGCGAGAATTGGCAAGCCTTTGTAGTCTAATTGGTCGGGGTTTGTTTGGGGTGCCTACCATTTTCTATGCGGGTGCTGGCAGTGCCCCAGATTTTCACTTAGGATCGATCCATTCCCTCACTTTTGATGTCAACGAGAAGTGAAGAAGCTAGGTAGCCATCTGTTCAAACTATCTCCCAGCTGCTGGAAGGGTGGAAAAAGTTATCACCCCTGTTGGTGCCTGAGGCACAAGTTAATGGGAAACTTTTGTTAACCACTGCGGGTATGAAGATTTGCAAAATTCAGACAATAGTTTAATATTGGCTGTATGATCTTACCCACGCTGGTGGGCACAAAAACCTCTGCCCTCAGTAATCCAGGAGAGAGCTTGGTCCTGCTGGCCTTTTAACCTTTACGCACTTAGGAAGTGCAATGCTGGAGGCTTTGGAGCCACCCGGTGGATATATGTGGCATCGGGTAACGCAGCACCACGGCGCAGCAGAACTCGTGGTCATTGGAACGTTTTCGCGATGGTGTTTATTGGATACTGTGAGGAACTTTAGCATCGTATCCATAGGATGTCAGAGATTCAGTCCTTTAGTTAATTGTTGTTCTGGGTACTGAATACCTTGGGAGTTGGCCCGCTGAAGAATTTCAGCTATCGTGTCAATTGGGGGGGCGCTGTGTGAGAGTTGGCAGGATTCCATTTTGTGTGTGGGGGAGGGGGTGGGGGGGGGGGGGGGTCCGTAGGGTTTCAGGTCGCTGGTCATGCTCTACAACTTCCTGAGTGGACGTGTTTCTCTAGAGAAAGGTTTTAGAAAACAGCACACTCGGTGAGAGACGGACGAGCTGTCCACAGTATTTCCCGGCATGAAGGTGTCACTGTGCAACTATTCCAATCTTGCGGTAGAGGAATGTCTTATCAGGGAAGACAGAAATCGGCCGTCTCTATAAACGGTTTAAACGTTTGCTGATAGCACTTTGGACGGCTCAAGGTGGTAGGATCATCAGGAGCACTACGCTCTCTTTCTGGGGCTCATTGGCGGAAAATGTTATTGCTTTTTTATATATACCGTGTACAGTACGAGTACCGTACAGGGTAGTGTATACCTACCTTTATCGGAAAAATGCCGGTATCCAAGACCTAAGTATACTATCGAATCCTAGCCATAGAATTGGCCCTGCCATGATCATCTGCTGAATTTGATTGAAACAGTTGTATGGGTGCTCAAATTTTAGCTTATTTTAAATTCTAGCCTATATGTGCGGCGCGCGTATCACACTATGGCCCCTTATATCAGAGGATATCCGGGTGCCCGCTTGGCTATCAGCCCATAAACCCTGCCATGGACACGAGGTCATTGGCCATGGAGTCGAAATTGTGCCCCTTTCAGGCCCACCCGTGTCATAGTTTAAGTTTCTACTTTGCATGCACAGTATTGGGCGATCATGCCTGTGGCAGCCAAGACGAATACTGCTGCTGTGCTCACTCTAGGGTACGGGTGCTCGACTAATGTCGTGAGAAATTGTATATAAGCCGCCGGCAGCCGAAGCTCTCTACGAGCACGGACAAAACGAGAGTGCGATTCACCCACAGATACTATTCCGCGCCTATCTGAAGATAGGCGTTTTGAACAAAAATGGTTCGCCTAGGAGGAATTCTCGCGAGTCTAGCTGTCATAGCTTCCGGAGTGGTAGCGTATGCGGCTCCCAACCATCCCCCGCGCCTCAACCCTCGAAGTACACATTTGTATCCCAGGGATGAGAACTGCACCGCTCCCCCGAACCCTTCGGTAGCCGCGCCCAAACCTAACCCATGGAAACCTCTAAGCAACACCGAAATTATAGATCTTCTTGCATGGCTTCACGCTCCAGCTCAAGGGTTAAACTTGACGGCGTATGAGGGCGCAACGACTTGGGATAATTGGGTTGGGGTTACAGAGCTTTTGGCACCGAACAAGACCGATGCCCTGGCCTATCTGGATGGCTCAGGGCCCGCGCCGAAAAGATATGCTAGGGTCGTTATCTCTTACGGCGCGACGGAAAAACCCTATCTACAAGAGTACATGGTGAGATATTCTCCTTCTTCCGCTTTGGCACGACACGCATCCAGTTGAGTTGGGATCTAACCACTGGGATTTGTACACTAGGTTGGACCGATTCCGGTTGTGCAAAACGTTACTAAGATTGAACCACTTAACTACCTCTACAACAAGGGGGAGGGGAAAACTCCAAATTATGGTGCAGATAGTGGCACTCAAAAAGTATGGCTTGGGCTTATTGCCCAAAATATGTCTGATATCACTCTGGATCTTTTGGGAACGGTAAGTCGTCGAGGTGTTTCCCGCTCTCCAGGCTCCAAAAACCTTTGCAGGGTGGGAGCGTAGCGTTCGCTGGCAGCTGATCATTGATATTCTCCATTAGGATCATAAAAATTCGAGTCTCTGGGGGATAGATCCCCTCTGGGAAGAGAACGGAAGAATTATTAGTTGGACTCAGTATTGGTCTTACCCGACTAGTAATTACGATTCTTCTACTCTTCTTCCTCAAGGTCTCTATCTCAAAATAGGTGAGCACCCCGTTCGACTTTGGTCCCCACTCCCCGTCGGGCTAACTTGACCGGTCAGACATCACCGGACGTGATTGGCAGGGGTGGAGATTGCTTAATATTCTCTACGACAACAAGCTTTACGGAAGCATTGATGAGTTTCGGGCCGCTTGGAGGTCTCCTGGCTTTAGAAAACTTGCTAAGCAAGTCGACGGTGAATGGACTGGCACCAGCCAGGCTGGCACAGCGCCCCTCTTAGACATGCGGCCTCCCCCGATACAGATTCAACCCGACGGACAGCGGTTCGCAGTCGATAAAGATGCCAAGTACGTTGAGTGGATGGACTTCGCTTTTTACATTGGCTTCAGGCGAGACACCGGAGTCAATCTATATGATATTAAATATAAGGGCAAAAGAATTATTTATGAACTTGGTCTGCAAGAGGCAATTGCACACTACGCCGGCAATGACCCCACGCAGAGTGGAACAGCATACCTCGATAGCTACTACGGGTTCGGACCTTATGTATTTGAGTTAGTTCCCGGCTACGATTGCCCCGCCTACGCCACATTTCTCGACACGGCGGTGCACGAAGTTGGCACCACCACGACCAACAAGAACAGTATCTGCTTGTTCGAGCATGACGCCGGATACCCCCTGCGGAGGCACACCTCCCCTTCCTACGTTTCGGTGACTAGGAACACCATCTTCACACTTAGGTTTATTTCAACGATCGGTAACTATGACTATGATCTCAGCTACAACTTTTATCTCGACGGTTCGATAGAGATCAAAGTGAGGGCTTCGGGCTATATCCAGTCAGCTTTCTACGCCCATAACGAAGACTATGGATATCAAATTCATGACGCCACATCCGGCTCCATGCACGATCATGTTTTGAACTTCAAGGCGGATCTGGACATTCTCGGGACGAAGAATACGTTTGAGAAGGTCAGCATAGTACCAAAGACCACAGAGTAAGGTTACCAGGGATCCTTCAGATTTTACTTTCTAGGGCTCTCACGGTGCTGACCCCCTACCCCACAGTTATGTTTGGTCGACTTCCCCACGGAACACCATGCGTCTTGAACGTTCCTCGGTCCAGAATGAGGACGAAGGAAAGATAAATTGGGCTGCAAACGGTGCTGCTATGTACGCCGTCGTGAACAAGGATCAACCGAACAAATTCGGATCGTCTCCTGGATACAGGATCATGCCCGGTGAGTGGATTTCCGAAAGGATAAAGCCAAAATTGGCGATATTTGAGGTCTGGAGAGAGAGGGAAATGGAGTTAATGATATTTCCCTGGAAATTGTGTAGGAGCCGGAACACCCATCCATCTCACCGTCCAAAATTCCAGTAACCTTCAGAAGGCAGCGGAGTTTTCCACTCACCACCTCTACGTTACAAAGCAAAAGGACACTGAACAGCATTCGGCGGCAGCTGCGAATTCCATGAACCCGAAGGATCCACTCATCAACTTTGGAAAGTTCTTTGACGGAGAATCATTGCTCCAGGAAGACATGTGCGTAGTATCCCTGTCTCTCGTGCCGTCTCATGCAGAGAAAAGACACAAATGAAGAACATCGTACTAAAACCAGGACCCTGGTCTCGAGCAGCGTCGTCTGGTTCAACCTGGGAATGCACCACGTCCCCCACACCGGAGATCTACCAAACACTGTCTTCACGACAGCCCAATCCAGCGTGTTCCTCTCCCCACACAACTACCTACTGGGCGACCCATCACGTGCTACGTCACAGCAGGCAGAAATCAGATTCGACTCTAAAACTGGAGAGGTGACGGCCGTGAACATGTTTGGCTCGACCTTGCCGTCGTGCACAAGACCTGATTTGGTAAGTGTGGACTACCTTTTTTTCTACTTTCGGGTTTGTCATTTGGCTGACGCGCTCGACTATCCGTGAAATTGTTGTCTCGTAGACTGCGTTGTATCCCGATTTACGCTCTTATAAGGGCCCTCAGTATGTTAGAAAGTTTCCGCACGACGAGAACCCGGGGCAGTAGTCGAGTTGAACCGGAATTAGGGGCCGATTTGCTTCTTCCCTTTTATTTTCTTTCTAGTTTATCTATTTGTTAATCTATTCACCTTGGGCCACAGATAGTAGAATAGAGTGGAGTCAGTAATCAAGTAAGCAAGTAGGAATGAGTTATTACCATTCGGGTGTCCATACTGTCCGGTCAAGTGATACAGAACCAAAACAAAGGAGAAAAACACCTTTTGGACGTTACATCAGTTCGGCTATTATTCTTTTATTTATTTATTTATTTTTGCAAATAAATAGTACTCGGTAGCGATAAGGCAATGAAACAGCCGGACACGCCACGACACTCCTCCCCTCCGGATTTCTGGGGAGGAGAATAATAAGAGAACTGTGGTAAAGGAGAAGAAGAAGAAGAAAAGAGAAAGATGAAACGTATGCAGAGGGGAGGAGAAGGAGAAGGCGGCGGTGCTGCAGGACAGTGTAGTAAGAAAAAGCTTGTCTCTTACGCAGAGTCGCGAAATAGTACGGTCGGTGTTACATTTGGGTTATCGTATTACCGGTAGCTGTGGAGGTGCATATATATGATTTTCTCACTTTATCTAGAGCTATTTCGGTTTCCCTCCCACATTCCCCCCCCCCCCCCCTTCCGAATCGGTGCACCGCAGCAGTGGAATAGCACGGTAGCAATTCTGTCCGGTACTAAATTTGGCCGTTGTGCGGCGGGGCACCAAAAAATCGATTGAAGGCGCTAAAGTAGCAGGGAATAATCACGGTATTGTTAGTCGAGCCGGCGCAGGATTGGTTTGGTGTCCAACTTGTGCCACTAGAGATGTGTTGCTCCCTCTCTCCCCAACCCAGCAGGCAAAGTACTCGAGTAAAGCAAGCAGAGAAAACGGCTGTGCCCGTGAACTCGCAGACCCAGAAGAAGAAGCAACCAAGCGATCTCCCCACCATCACCACGGAGTTCGGCTCCTGATTCGCCCCCGCCTCCGCCGCCGCTACTGTACCACTGCTGCTAACGCTTAGCCTATGCGCTGCCGGGAGGATACCGGTAAGGTAAAATTAAGAGAAGGAAGGAAAAGAAAAAAAAAGAAAAGGGAGGCTCCAAGTATAATGCAGTCATGGTATATCACTCGGTTGGCGTCGGGGCTGTGACCAAATGATCGGGGAGAGCCAAGAGGAAAGGGTTCCGGTTTTTGGTTGGAAGCATTTTAGGGCGAGTATTGTATGACAGGCACCGTCAATGTTTGTTCACTTTTCGATTTTCCCCTTCGCGCGAGGGAAAAAAAAAGCAAATTTTTGAGCTGTGATTTACTTTTTTACTTTTTTCCCTTTCTTTCTTTACTTTTTGTTTTTGTTTTTTTCCTCAGGCATGGAGGCATGGTGGTGGTGGGGTTTCGGTTTTTGTCTTTTGATTTTTGCTTCTTTGCGTGTTCCCCGTAGGTACCGTACCGGAGGTCGTACGGTGGGGGGGGGGAGGGGTGGTTATTGTTTTTTTCCTTCCCAGTTCCACATTCCGAGAGCACTTTCCAATGATCTGTCCCGGTTTTTATTTTTATTTTTTTTTACTTCCGGGGTATGATAGAAGAGAGAGAAAAGAAGCCCGTGGATTTAGCGCGGACGAAGCAATGGTCGGGGAATACTTGTAGCATCCGATGGACCCGGAATGACCTACGGGGACCGACCTCTCCGTGACCCAACTTACGGTATCTGACATACACATGGATGAGACGGCCCCGAAAAATGAAATAATGGCGGCCGGTATGGTATCTCGGTTTTGAGAACGAACATACGATAGCTGAAACCTCTTGCGATGGAAGGAGTATATATATCTACGGCTGAGGTTTTCGTTTATTTTTTTTTTTCTATCTTTTTCCTCCTGTATCGTCCTTTCTTCCTCTATCGCTGGCTCACTCGCGGATCGCAACTGCCCACCACACCACATTCTCCTTGTGATTCGCCGCGGCTTGGCAGGGAGTCGATTGCACGGCGGTGCAGGTACTCTTTTCACTAACCAGTATCATACCCCATCTTGATTGATATATCCCACTTTACTTCACTTTCTCGGGATATTGATTTTCCTATGTTCTGGTTCGCTTGCCCGCCATTCCACCACAGTTTACTTTTTCCGTTATTTCTTTTTTATCCTATCTTTCCTCGTGACTCGGGAGGTTCGGTGGGGTGCGGGGGGGCAAGCACTGCCCGCATTCCACTCTACCACTGTCGTATGGATGGAGAGCTGGATAGTTGATATTTTTCTTTGAATCCGGAAAAGAGCAACATTCACTTGGGGACGAAGTGCAAATCAAATCGCGAAACACTGGATGCATATGTAGCGGTGATATATTCGTACAGCAACTGGTACCTGGACCAGCAAACCGTTAAAAGTGCAGTTTGCGCATCGCCTCGACGATTCCGTGCTTGATCCCTGCAATAGTTTATCGGGGGGGGGGGGGTGGTTGTGAATACTCTACCGCGGGGTGGAAGCTAACTCGAAAAAAGGTATTTGAATTTGGTAGCCCTGTTTAGATATAGAGACTTGATTGAAGGTGGGTGGTGTGTATGCAATTTGTGGGCAAACAGGATGCTTGCAACCCATTGGCTTCTTTTCTTTTTCCTCTTTTTCTGGCTTTCGCTTTCTTAGGTTCTTTTGCTTTACTTGCTTTATTTCTTGTTTTACCCTCCATTGTTTTGTGGTGTTTATGTTTATATTCTCTGACTGTTGCTTTTCTTTCTTTTTTTTTCCCTCTTTTTACTGGGTTCTGTTTGGGGGGTCAAACGGGAGTGGGGAGGGGGATCATTAGCTGTGTACAAATCGCGGTGTTCCCGAATGAAAGAATGCTTTCCTACCGCGCCGATATTGCGATATTTGGGATCTCCGGGGCCATCCCAGGCCGGGGTGTCACTAACTGGTTCTATTGTAGTTGCGGCGAATTCATCGACTGGTTCTCTGTGCTTTTCCATGGACCGAATAATAGTATTTTGCCAGTCCCCACACCGGTCCTCCCATAGCCCACACTGTGGGAGCGGCAGTTTGGGCGAGCGAAAAATATATGCTGACACCGACATACTGCCCAGGGCCCTGTCAGTTAGAGGCCAAAGACTAGGGAGATAGAAGTGGGGGGCGGTGGGATGGTGGGAAGGGAGGACACAGCTTGGGACTCATAGGGTGAATAGTAGGAAAAATTACTCGACTATTAATGAATTACCACAAGGGGAATCAGGTCACCATGATCACGGGTTATGCGGGTAATGTATCTCTTGGATACACAGCAAAAAAACTCATTGGCCGAAGCAACAGGCGGGGCAGCCGTCAGAGCGGAGAAGACTGGGTCTCGACGTGGCCGTAGTGACTGTGATGTACTGTAGGTCAGGCGCCGGGGTTCGATTTTTATTTTTTTGAATAATTAGCAGCATTTTGAATAGAGCCTTGTACAACCACACCCTCCCCCGTGAGTGAGTGAGTGCCCTTCATCCATCACTACTGTATCCTATTTGACTTGGCGAGGCTGAGAGCCTTAAAACCTCAAGCAACCGCTCCCGGTTACCGTAGTTGACGATTACAAGACTTTATAAACTCGGCGAGCGCTCTTCTTCAGACTCCCTCGAAACCCGAAAGTGTCAAAGCGTACAAATACCCACAGTCTTGTCCTTCCAACTCCACAGCACAGAATTGCTACGGCTATCTCTTGCACATAACAGCTTTCGTCTCTCACTTCCAACACCGCCAGAGCCAACACTCCCTCCATACGATATTCAAGATGACCAAAGCTTGGGACCGAGAGAAGGCGAGGATGCATGAACTGTGATTGCCTCCTCCATTCTTTGTCCATTCAAAAGTGGCCTACCTAGCTGACATTTGATAGCTACATGGTGCGCAATATGAAATTGTCACAAATGCAAGAAATTATGCTGAAACAACATAATTTCAGCGCAAGGTAATTCCCGAAAAGCGAACCCTGGGGGAAAAAAAAAAAAATTCAAAAATTGAATCGAAGGTATACTAATGCTTACAAAATAGTGAGCGAGCATACAAGCAGAAGTTTAAGGAATGGAAATGGTTCAAGAAGACTCCGGTAGGTTCTCGACCTCCTTCCCCGCCTGCCCCACCCGTTTGCTCTTGGGATGTTTCAGTATGAGTTTTTTGTGGGTGTCTCGGACGAAAGAGAGAGAGAGGGAGAGAGGGAGAGAGTGGACAAAAAGCTTATTCGAAACTCCCAGCGCAACCAAAGTGTAAATCCTGAGGCGATGATCAACATTGGGCGACCACCGGCGACTTCACGTCCGTACCCACATCCCGGCGCAGACCTACGAAGGTGTTCGGACTCGAGCTCGTTAAACAGCATGGACCACCACCATAGCCAGATGTCGCCCCCAACATCATATGCCGACCCAAGCGTAAGCCCCGAACATGGAGTTTATCCAGCTTCTCAACACGGCTTGTTGAGCTTGGGATCCGTCCACAGTCCACCACCGATAGTTCGAGATACCTATCAAATATCGCTACCGCCGGTGTCGGAGATACAGTTGCTGCCCTTCAAAGAGACTGTAAAGGAGAGTGTAAGGACGGCTCAGATCCACCTGGACTCGGGGGATATGGAAGTTGCAGGCGATTACCTTGAGCATGCCTTGAAAACTCTGCAGTGGTTGACTTCCAAGGGGTGTCGGTAGATGACGATTCTTTTTCTTTTTTTTCTTCTTCTTCTTCTTCTTCTTCTTCTTCGTTATTCGCTAGGGACATCGGGTTTTTCTTCTATTTCTATTTCTTCTATTTCTTCCTCTTCTTCATCCTTTTCTATTTCTACGTTCGTTTTTCGGTGTTATCTGTCTTTTTTTTTCCTTTTCTTTGGTTTTCGGTGTGGGCGTCAAGGGTTCAACGATCAAGGGCTATCGTTATGCGGATTTTTGTGGGAAAATGCACGAAAGCGAGCGAGCAGGGGAGCAAGTCGATGCACATCTTTTTCGAAGTTAATGTGCAGTACGCGGATTAGAACTGTCATATCCCCCAGATGTGGACCTGCAGATAAGAGCCTTCTAGCTAGTAGCGGCTGGTTCAAGAATACAAATCATGTTCAAGAGAAAAAAAAAAAGGAAAAAAGACCAATCAACCAATCTTTCGCGAGTGATTAAGCGTGAACACCTAGTAGGGGATAGGGAAAAATCCTGAAAGGCTCCCTCATCCTCTGGTAAGTTATGCTACTAACTCTATCAGGCCATATTTGGCGCCTATTATATTCTTTCAAGACTGGAGTGGCCCGTAATCAGTTAGTGCACTATTGGCATCGGTACCCTGTCCACCTGCCTGCAGCAGGCCGATCAACTGGATTTCCCCCAGGCTAAGGCTTTGGTAAACCGATTTCCCGAATGTCCCCTCCCGGGGTGTTGTATCCCAAGGCTACGAAATCTCGCAGCTTCTCACATTTCCCCGCTTCTCAACATTACCAATTATCTGCGCATTCCCGTCCATCATGGAAGTTTGAGGCAGTTTTTGTGGTGAAATAGAAGTCATAGAAGATCACTCATATTCGCGTTTCTTACGCTTCGCTCGTCCCGTTAGGCCTTCATGCTTCTCTCGTTTCTCGTAAGCCCCTCGGATAGATGCATTCGAACCTCACTGCTGAGAGAGAGAGAGAAAGCTCTGGGTACTCGAAGAACCTCGCAGATGAGGTGTACTTGAGACTTTTTTCGTGTGCTAGGGCACCTGTACGGCACCTGATTTTAACTAGCGACTTAAGCCCGATTCGAGGGATTTCTCACTCCTCTTCCAACATCAGAGATGTACAACTCTTGGATTCCATAGGCCTGGACTAACAGGATAGTGCTGCCGGCATGCTTTCTGGGGTGCCGTAGTAGATCATTGATAACCTATCCATCCTTGTACATCAGTCGGTTGCATCATTTTCGCACTGGTACATACGTGTTGGAATCATCATCGGAAATCACTAGATTCGGCTCAAGGGCGTGCATATATTGATATCGCACCTTTGCTCTCTTCCCACTCTCCACAAGTAGGGGAATTTCTCCCACCCTGTCCTCATCTCCGCCGGCCATACTGGGGGTAGATGGATGTTCCCATGATCATCCTTCCCATTGCTTTGGTGGCCGGCAGGTAAATTTTTTAGTAGCCTGATCATCTCACACCAATCTATCTTACCGCTCATTAATTTATTGCCATAAGTTAGCTCTCCTCGCACGCCTCTTCATCGTGATTGACCACCAACCGCGCTCCCATCATCCTCTCCCCTCCCACCACCCGATCCACAGCCCAAGCGGAGTTATTTTATTCCACCGAAGAAATGGAACCGACCCTCTCTACAGTACTAGACTTGCGTTTGCGGGGCGGCCCGCCAAAAAAGCCGCCGTCTCAAATTCCAAGCCCACCCCCCCTCCCCTTTGGGCAATCTGTATCGTAAATTGCTTTTTGGAAGGCTGAGCGAGGCTGAGAATGTGATTGAGCTTTTCCAAGGATACCCGAGGAAACTTGAGTGTTCAGATTGACGCTCCGAGACAATAGTGTACAGATATCGGTCCGCGGTACTGAAGGGTACCGCAATACTGACACGTGGGCCTGTTCAATCTTCATTCGCGGGCTTTGCGGTGTTTTTATTCACCACCGGGAATGAGAGTGGAAGAAGAATGGGAGAGGACAGATTCTCGCAGTGGGGGGGAAAAAAGAAAGAAATCAAGGGAAAAAAACCGCCTATCAACTAAATACCGAGAGATCAAGGGTAAGATTCGCATTGCGGTAGTGCAGATGTTTATCGCTGTGGTATTTCATAATCGTCATGTGTTCAATGAAATGCATGTAGGTTTTTTCCCGCGTATGGAACCCCAACATCCCGACGGTCCACTCATATTTGGGTTAGGCTGCCCGAGCGTCCGCTGCCGGGCAAGAAGCACACAGTTGTGCGAAAAAGCACCCGATTTCCGGGATCCTGGGGAGGCTCTCACCCTACATCACTCGTTCCGGTTCTCTCTGGCTCTATGATCGACAAGATAAAGACTTTGGCCGACCGCCCACGATACGCTCCTTTAATCGAGCATTACATTGCGAGAAATAAAGTACTCACGCGGACAAAAAAAAAGTTGTTGAGGCGCATCCCACGGTTCCTGTGCTTTCTATCCCCTTCTCGCGGCGGACCAACGATATTTTTTGGATTCCCTCTTTCTTCTCCGGGGGGGCAAAGAAGGAAAAAGAAGTGTTCGGATCCACCTACGCGGTAGGCGCGGGGTCTTCGTTCATGTTCTTATTGGGGGGTTCTTTTTTCCTGGATCTCGAGAGTTGTGTGGACTACCCTTCAGCAGGCTCCTAATTATAAAATACCTCTTAGATATCTCCCTGTGGATTAACCGTACTGTGCCTACCATACCCATACCTTTTTACCATACCTACATACATATTGGCTAGCAGGGTGGGTTGTTTGGTGCGAATACCGAGCAAAAGATCTCACCAGGCTGTGCAAAAACCTCAACGCCAGAAATCTGCAGGGGACTAGCCAGAGGAAAGCTATAACCTATTGGTCATAGCTTTGCGTTACGGGAAGGGTGTGTGTGTATTTTTCCCAAAGGGTTGGCGCGAGCCCTACTGGTTGACTGCTCGCAGCCAATAATTATTATCCCGGGTAAGCCTGGGCAGCAGCTCTCTCCCTTCTGCTCCATTTGATACGAGAACGAATCCCCTCTCTTGGGCTTGGGGTTGCAAGGTATGGCTCAGGGAGAGGATACAATCCATGAATCTCTCGTCCCGCGATAACCAGGGCAACACGGGAACAACCTGGACACGCAAACCAAAGGGTAAGCTTTCTTAAACAAAACCATCATACTTGCTGCTATAGTCCAGGATAATGCCGGGCCAATGACGGTGGCCAGCATGCGGTGAGAGCACATATGCAGTGACCGATAGCCTACGGTATCATGCCTGCGTCAGCGCATTGCCCGAAAGTGCCCCTGCTATTCGAGGCCGAATCGCGCCAAGAATCGAGAAATTCGCTCCGGCGAGCAGGCAATTGGTTTTGAAAGGGTGATAGTTTCCAATTCCGGTGAAAAGAGCTATTCGTATTGCCAAGCGGTCTAGGCGTGGGAATTGACAGGTTGGCCAGCGAGCCGTCGGACAAGCCAACATCGGCTGATTGGTCTGCAGGTTGTCCCAAATGAGACGGCTACCGTTTCACCGGAGCAAAGCGTTCGATCATGAAAAATCACTCGCACACTATGCTTGATCTCGTACCCGGTACGAGTTGATGTATCGTGGGATGGCGGAGCGTGTTAGTCCCCATGCGGGAAGTGCCGGAGGTGAAGTAAAAACGTGCTGTACCGTGAAGACGCATGGTCGGGGGCAATGCCTCTGCCGCTACTACCTGTCCTCGGGAGTGTACTAAATATAGTAGCACTTTTTCAGCACCGCGGATCCGTCACTGTAAAAGGACACTGCAGTAATAACGGACCATCCACGCTCTCAGGATGGCTACTCTAAAAAAAGGATTCCGCGCTCATTGGCTGGAAATTTCCAGAAGGAAGTCGCGATGTGACATTTCTGCAATGCGTATCCCGATCACTTGTCTACCTAGCTGTTCAAGAGGTGGTGCTCTCGTTGGTACAGTACAGCACCAGAGTCACATTATTGTTTGTTTTTTGCTACGAGCGCGCGATTGAGATACGAGTAATGGAGCTTATCAAATGGAGCTTATCGATGTGTTTCTCGAGGTGTCTGATTTTGCATATTTTCGGCGTAGGAGCGATGGATGGGCTACACTGCCCCCCGAGAAGTATCGGCGATGAACAACTGGGAGTGGTGGAAGGTGGTAAATCGGGTCACGGAGTAGAGATGTGAATCGGGGAAACCTGTGACCTTAGAATACTGTAACCACTAAGGATGGAGAGCGCTGTCAATGGATTTTGTACGGGATTTTCAGCGAGCGAACCGAGATGAGCCAGAGTTGTTGAGCTGAAATTTGAGAGACATGGCGCTTGACCATGGTTCAATATCTTGATTCAGTGGTGCCAGGATCCTCTCCAGGGCGGAGGTGGAAGTGAGAAAGAAAAATTTGGCTTCAGGTTGATTCCCTACATGGCTCGTCCGTCAGGCAATTCCCCAGAGATACGATGCTGATCCTAGACACTGAGGAGTCTAGGACTATTCCATGGCGCAGAGGCCCGGAGGAGGGTATTGAATGCCCATCCCGAGTTCTCCTTGCTGATACCTCACTACAGCACTTGCCCCAAATCCTTCATCCGAGAAACGAACTTATCCACATAACAAAGTTTCCGCACGTCATGGGCATAGAAACTTCACCCATCATCGACATATTATGTTCAAGTTCCGCAATACCCACGACAGAACGTACCAGAGCGCGCAACCACTCACTGGAGTCTCTCCAAAACACGCAAACCTAGCGAGCGTTTCGTACTAGAACTAGCGTCATGAGAGATCACAACCCTACCAAACGACTCCAGAGATTGGGAATCATCTCTTTACTCCGACAACATAGGCAATCTTTACGAAAACCTTCTGGCCCTAGGATCTCCACTTCCTAACACTCCGCATCTTTGGAATGGGCTCGCTTTGGTGACGTGATATCTGATGGCTCCCTGGGGGAATGGTTAAAGGACTCGGTCTTGTCATTTTACACTTTAGAGTAGCGAAGATAATTGTTCATTCATATCCCTCTTCCTTTCAACCTCAGGATGAATACGGGCATCCAGATCATTGTGGGAAGCAAGTGAGAGTAGCAACACAGCAGGCTGTATGCAGAGTCTAGGCGATTTTCTAGAAAAAAAATATCGGATGCTTTGCTGTGGTTGTTAGAGCGGGCATAAAGTAGAAAAACATCATCGCTGAGCTACTCTACCCGCACCACCTCTCCCCCTCTGAAGAACTCTTCTCACTGTTCAGTCGCACTTCAAGCTTGCAAAAGGGGAGGCACTATCCAAAGTATCACGGCCGGTAAATAGCGTCTTAGGTTTTCAGTCGCCCTGAAACTCCATCCAGCCCATTCACAACTCAAGTAGAAGCCTAGCTCTCACACAGCAATCCCAAATACAGCCGGAGCCTGCATCCAGATCCCCCAAATATCGCAGCTCCCGGGTCCTCAACAACGGCAAATCCATCTATCTGGCTTCACCTAATTCTTTTTAGATCTGGAAACACACGATTACACCCACTCCCTTCTGATAGCGGAGCGATGTGAAGTGGAGCAACCCGGGACAGCACTCCACTTAGAATGTCACCTCCACGGCAGTTCTTCAGGCCCCCAGCCATCCAGGAACTCAGGACGCTACCCGTCCGCGTGTTGAATCCAGGATTTCGGCTTGTGATCCGTTGATCAGATGGCGTAGGGACCCAGTCTCTTTATCTTGATGATATTTCTGCACTGGAGGCCTATTTTACTGACACTGAAGAATGTTTATGTGGATATTCTTGTGATACTGCGCCCTCTAATCTTGGAAATTACAAGTCATGGGAGTTGATCCGCTCTCCGGATGATAGAGTGATGAAATCTTTCGTGCTCGTCCATAGCAACTTTCATTATAACCTTATTCGCAGGGCTATTTTTATTTTTATTATTATTATTTTTAAGGCCTACAGTAGGTCTGGTCCAGTTCGCCCCAGAAAAACTCGCCGAGATCGTGGACATGGGATATCGAAAAAGTGGGTACTGTACAGTACACCACACCCAAATCAAGCAGGGGGTAAGCAAAAAAACTAAAACTAAAACTAAAACTAGAACAGGCTTATGATCACGGCTATCGACAGTTCAAGGTCAAATATTATCAAACTCGTCTCTGAAAGTTAGTCCTACTGAGGAGGTTCCAGGATCTGGTTGTGGGAGGTAGATGAGATTCGACAGCAGGTGTATTTCGTGGGGAAAAAAACAAAAACAAAACAAAGTACATTATGCAGAAAGCCATTTAATTGGGGGGGGGAAGTTGTCCTGTTCCGCCGTGTATCGAAACTAGCCTATGCTTCACCTAGCCTTCACTCCTAGGCTAGGATGGTGGAAGGTTTTGGAGGTTCTAGTATTTCCGCTTAGCAGAAGGATTCTCATTTTATTTTATTTTATTCAATTTAATTTTTTCACCATGCAATAGAGCAGCAAGCCTCTTGATGGTAAGTTTTGCCGAGGAAGATGCTCAATGTGATATAATTGTTTTCCTGCAGTATGGGATGTACTTGGTTTGGGTCTTACCGATTGCCTGGGACTGGCCTTATGAGGATCGATGCTCTCTTCTCGAGACTCAAAACTGTTGCAGAGGATCTTGACTTGACGGAATGCTTTAGCACAGGGTGATACACGAGAAGGTAAAGAGACCCAGTAGATATGGGAGTGGGTGCTGAAGAACCATTAGGCTTGTTACCTTGGTGGGATTTTACCAAAGACGAACCCAAATCCAGCTTCTTGGTGCAGGAGCCTGAGTGACGAGCCTGGGAGCAGTTGTCGGTAGTACAAACCTTACCCGTTCACGGGAGAAAACTAGAATTTCAAGAATATCCTCACAAGTTTTGCTACGCTGGGATACCGGGGGTATACACATACAGGATAATATTGTCGCATGGTCTTTACTTGTGCATGGCGTGTGCAGCACTCAACTCAACCAATTGACTTTTTGATAAGGTTTAATAACCATCAACCCCCCTAGACTTTGTTCAGTAATAAAGGGTTGTTCATGCGGAATAAGCGTCTTAGCGGACAGAGCATTTGAGCTATTGTCATTCACACCTAGAGGAGATATAATCAGGTATCACATTCACGCAATCATCAACAGGGTTGGTGAAAACTATAGCATTGAACCTAGGGGGGAGGAAAGAAAGAACAGAGAAAAACATAAAGCACAAAACACAAAGCGCCCCCCCAAACAATCTATCATTTATTTATTTGTGAGAAAAAAGACTTTGCTCATTTTTTATCTGCCAACTCATGTCGCCCCATTCAGACACTGCGCACTAGAACAAGCCATTTCCAGTAAGTTCGGCAGGCCGAGATCGTTCTGAGTGTGTCTGGAATTGAACTTGGTAATTTTCTTGAGGTCCTGGAATTCCTCATTGCGGAGGCGAACAGGCGTCTCAGAGACATACCAGAAGACCCCATCGGAGCAAGGTGGGAATGGAAGAGAGCCGTTGTAGTAACGGATTGTAGAGGTTTCGATGTTTTCTATGACGCCCCTAAAGGAAAGAGAGTAGGTGGTGAGTAAGAGGGAAGGCAAAGGAGAAAATGAGGAAACTCTCACTTGAGATCTACCGATACAGGTAGACGGGCATCTTTTCTCCTGAGTAATACCTCCAATTGGGTTTTGAGAGAGGGAAAGACTGGGTCGGGTGCTCCGGTTCCTTTCAAGAAGTCACCGAAGACACCAACGACCGCAAGCTGCCCGGGTACTAGAAAATATCAATTAAAAAAAATACCACCCAAAAGAAGAAAGGGAAAACTCACCATCGACACTCTCATGAACAAAGTGAATCTCCACCGGAAAGTACTCATCCTCAAAGGTATGCTCTCCTGGTAACTGGAAATGAAATTGCACGAGCTTATACCTACGCCCTCCCAGCACGGCCACAAACTCCTGAGGATTCCTCGGAGCCAATTGGACCCTCAGCGCATATGCCTCATAGAAAACTTCGAACATGGAAACTGGAGGGTACAAGAATCGGGAGCCTTGGGCGGCTGCAGTAGACCCGGAGCGGATGTTGATGGGGGTCTGCTGGTTGGAGGTTGCGCACTCTTTCCATTCCACAGAAATCTTGTGCCAGAGGTTGGGACCGGTGGATCCGGAGTAGCCGTAGGTGAGGGCACCGCTGGAGGTATCTTTGCCGAAGGTGATAGTCGAGAGGACTAGGGTGAAGAGGTTAAAGAGAGCCAGGCATTTTTGAAGGAAAACAAGCATTCTGTAGAGATTGGGGGTTTTGTGACCCGTAGAAAGTTTTAATGATTAATTGGGATTGGTCGGATGATTTGAAGGACTGTGGTGGCTGTGTGGATAAAACAAAGCGGGTGTGGTGAGTGAAGAAGAGGGAAGGAGGATGGAAGAGGCGGAGAACAGACTAGTGGATGGTATCATACTTGGAAGCTCTATCTGGAGGTAGTTTTTTTTAGGGGGGGGGGTAGGGTAGGAAAGAATTGGGGTATGGAGAAAAAAACTCCCACGACTAATCCACCATGGAAATTCTACCTGCCCCGAGGCAAAAAGCAAAGATCTCCGCCAGGGAGGAGCTTAAAGATCAAGAGCAATGAATCCTTCCCCCTTCGATGACAATAACCTCTCTTCATGAGGAGGAACGTGACTCCCGAGTTTTCCCTCCATGGATACACCTCCTAGCTTCTTCAAACAACACTAAAAGTATCCTAACACTCCGTCATTAAGCATCACTCGTGAGAGCACACTAACCAATTAAGCACCAACCCATCACTCCGCAAGACTCCCCATCGTCACCACCCACACAAAGTCCTCCATATAGACTTCATATCCATCGCTATGCACCCTGATATACAGGCATACCAAAGCCATCAGCTGCCACAGCTAACTAGACCCAGGACCTGCCAAATCCCATGACCTATTTCTACGGCCTTTCGCCTCCCTTGGGGAGGGAGGAAAATTTTTAAAAAAATTAGCCGCATCAATTACATTAACTTAATTTCAATCTCTACCAGCAGGCCGACCAGCCAGGTTGATCTCTGCGAACTGAACCCATGGTACTCTCGTGGACTAAGACTGGATATGCCTAAAATCCGGCGATAATGAATCAAGAGATGTGATGGGTCCATTGTTCACCCTGTGCAACCTACGCCCCCACCACTGGAAGCCTAATTCAACCTTACCGCAGTGAGAACGAAATTGAGCAGACAAGGTTTTCGATGACATATCTACCCTTTAACACGGGTAGCTGCAGGTGCAGTGGGGGGTTAGAGCTCGGTACAATTATGATGGGAAGCCTGATCGGCCGAAAGGCTAGGTGGGCTCCGGTTTTGTTTGGGGTGCAGTAGGTGCAGTGGTATTTTGCTATATCATATGTCATAACGGGATTATAATCTGGTAGGTGTGGATTGCCGGGGTTTATGAGTGGCATGGTATGTACGGATGGGGGGGGGGGGGCTTGATTGAAAAGTAGTGCACTACCAGGGAATCCCACGGGACAACTATATCAGCAAACCTCTTTTTTTTTTGAGAAATAAGGAATAAAGGTATCGTATGATATCATAAATATATGACCCGAGCTAAAACTGAAATAAAACTACCAAGGGTTCGTGACCTATGCGACCGTTCCTCCTCCGCTAGAATAATTAGACCCCACCAAAACCCCATTCACAACCCCCTCCTTGTACACCACAACCTTCTTTCCCTAATCCTGCACATAGCCCTCCCTCTTGGAGCACTCGTCCCGCTTATGCAATGATAACCCGAACATCACCAACGCTCAGAACGTCACGGAGAGGGTCACCCCTGCTGTGTGCTCCCCACGTTAGGGAGGTGGGTGGGACGCAAGGATCGGGATCCGGTCACAGATCGCCCAGGCCGGCGCCATCGCGGCGCCGGTGACGAACATATGGGTCTACTTTCGGGATCACGCTGACCAACGGATACCGCCGCGGTTTCGCATGAGATGTAATCCATGATATATACGACAGGGAGTTGGCCCTACCCTGAGGTCTAAGCCTTGGGCCATAGACCCGCTTTACCACTAGGATATGACTAAAAAAGAAGCCATATAACTTAAGCTCTGTATGCTAACTTATGAATGGGATTGAAGGACCAAGAGGGGATTGTATCATGATACAAGCTATACAGCCTGGGCAACGAGATAAGGATCCCAGTGCGCAAACTCTCCTTCAGCATCTTCTCCCTAATGTCCTGACTTGCCCCAACACCCTCGTTCTCCATCCTGCAAAATGCAAGCTAGCTCCTCCCGTCCATGAAAAACCACGACTCTCCCGTTACATGAAGGGCGGTGGGTGCCCGGTATTTGAATATAGAAATAGGGACAGTGATTTTCCCATTGGTGTTAAACACCCTATCCTTCTTCAACACTAACACCACTCCCTCCCCCTTCTCTACACAAGTAACTCGATGGGGCATATACCCCCCTCACCCCACCAACGTGCCGGTTCCATTCAGGTTCCCGTGCATGGAACCCTGCAAGAGCCCCAAGAGCACGCAACCTAGACTACTTAGCACGTATCAGACGCTGCAGTGGTCTCGGCGGCGGCTCTAGGGCCCTAAGATGGAGTCTTTCCTCAAGAAGGCGGGATTTCCAGGTGTCAGAAACGGAAGAGGATGCCGTATATCTGAGGGGTGTTGGCAGAACTGCGTTGTAATACTAGCTAGAAGAGAGGGGGAGAGAGATACATGAGGAATTGCGGAGGTGGGAACTAAAGGGCGGTCACAATAAATAGCTTCCCGGGCAAGTACGCAAGAAAGGACCGAACTATCGAGATATCTTCGGTCGGGAAAGGATTACGAATGCGGGAGTTTGAAAGACAACGTAGACAGCCGTTCACCAATTATCAATCCCCATCCAATTGGTATTTGGGGTGGAGAACCGACTATCAAACCAACCTCTTCCCCTCCCCTTAATTAATCCCCAAAACACAGATACTCACTTCGGAATTACAAGCATGAGTAGCAGCAATATCCGACGCCAAATCCTTTAAAAAAGACTTTTCCCTACAACCCCCTCCACAGCCCAATTGTCGTCTACCAATCATTTACTCTCCCAGGGAGGGAGAAGAGAAGGAAAACCGTACCGTACATATATACTCAAAGACGGGCAAAATTTCAACATACAGGAATCCAATTTTAGTGTTACCGCATGTCTCTAGAGCTAGCTGTGGGGCTAGGCACTGGTCGGGTAGGTTCAACTAGGCTATTTAGGAGAGACACTGTTCCTTGGAACCTCAGAGGAGGAGCTGGCCTGGAAGATGGGCTCCAGGTTGTTGTCGATGGTGAGGGAGGGCAGATGCTGGGTGCCATAGTTGCTCGCTCACTTGCTCTCACTGGTCTGGGGAAGAGGGAGAAGGGCTTGATTGTGTGGATGCCTGGTTCGAAGCTTGATCTGACCCCAAGATTCCAGAGATTTTTCTCTTTTTTTCTTTCAATTTCTTCCCGACCCACTTACCCTTGATTGCGAAGTGGAGTATCATAGTATCTACTATCTATTTATTCAAAGCTCATGGGGAGCTTGGAGGCCGAGTTGGGTTCGGAAGCGCTATGTCTTATTTCTGTAAGCAATATTCCAGGTATAATAATTATGATACCCACAGGCCATGCCATCTGAGGCCTTCCTATCGTTCCTCCCCTGCCCGGACCAGTCTCACCCAACTCAATCTGGTGGCGATATTGGGGTTTGATCGCCGGGGCCAGAGGCCCCGGAAATATTGGGTAATGTAAGCTCAGACTAGTATTTCGGCGCTCGGTAAAAACTCATAATAGGAAGCCAACTAAAGTTCTACTGAGTAGGCGATGACCGGTCTATGGTACCGCACTCGAATAGTGCTGCTACGGTAGTAGGGTTTTCTAATAAGCTCGCCGACATCTTGGGATCATAAGTTGATCGGGCGACTGACACCATCAGTCACTTGAAAGTCCACTTGGTAATATATTCATTCTCTACGCCTGAGCACAAAACCACATGGCTCGCTCCCCGAAGCTAACCCGGAACACGGGAAAAACGTTGCACTATATCACGAGAATTCAATATAACCCTTGCCAACAATGCCCTCGAACTCATTCTGCCAGCGCAACAGAAAATCGGAAGGGAAAGGCGCCTGTTACCATTGAAAGACCAATCGAGAAGCCACTAGGCTATATCCAAACCTCCAACACGTCCACGTAAAACAAATCCAGCAAGCACCAACAAAAAAAACGACGGAAAGTTATTTACAACGCTACCAGCGTAATGAAAAAATAGGAAGCCCACACAGAAAAATGTTAGAATCAAAACCGAGTACCACCCTACCCTATATCAAGACACTGACAAACGTCATCCCGGTCACCAGGCTTCCTCCTAGTATCTAATTTCGGACAACTCTCGACAAGTCTCATCTCCGAGCACTTGAAGATTACCATCCAACTCCTCTCTAGAGAGTGGCCGAAATAGGGATTTTGTGGAGCATCTTCCATGCCAGGCTGCCTCTTATCCTGGTGAATCCAGTGCTTCTCGTCACTCTCCAATATCTCCTTCAAGTGTTGGTAGATACGTTTATCCGTCCCCTTAATCCTTTTTGAAGAGACGATAAACCGTGAGCCGTATGATAGAAGGATATTGGTGCTTGGACATATTTCTCCGTAAACTGCTGAGAAGATCTGAGGCACCCGGGTCCAGGTATGCTCCGGTGCCCAAGGGTCACGGCATTCACTGCAGGAACATTCCGCATGGCCAACCCCGAGAGAAAGCATACCGGTAGACGGGAGGAAAAAATCTTCAATCCGAGCCTTTACATGACCAAAGTCCTCGATTTCTGGATGAAAGAAAAGGGTATGATCTGCAAGATTTTCCCAGTGTCTCAAGATATGGCTGAGATAGGCTCCAGTCTCTCGACCGACATTGGGGATATGCTCTAGAGCATCCGCACCGGTTTCCTTAGCTAAAGATACCAAGTCGGCTGCCTTGTCCATGCTGTACACTACCACCTTCGTCTCTAAATTTGAAAGCTGTGGAAGGCTAAGGATTTCCTCAACCTGATCGTGAACTGATTGGGTATTCTCCTTGAACATACTGATGACAATATCAAGCCTGCTCCTAGAGACACTGTTGTTGGGAATAACCCTAGAGGGGCTAGGAGAGGTCTGTGCACCCACAGGCACGGTATCCCGAGCAGGATACTGACCGCGATAAATTGTTCCCAAAATCACCACCATAAAAAGCGAAGCAGCACCAATTCCCAGCCGGCGATTTGTCGGACTTCGTGCGCAGAGCCTTGATCCCAACCCTCGTAGATGTGCAAATTGCTCGCTGATCTTTTCGGCACCCAGTTTGTAATACAAGAGACCAGAAAGGGCGATACCATAACCAAAAAATTGAAGGATAGTAACGGGATTTCCCCAGATGATCATCGAAGCACAGACGAGCAAAATATCCTTCAAAACACCACAAAGGGTAAGGACTAGTGAGGACGTTTTCCCGATCAAAAACACCACCGAGACATTCAAACCGAACGCCACAAGAGCATTCAAGAGAAAGGTAAGCCACCCAACCCGCAACAGTTCTGATACCCCCAAGGAGCCGCTCTCGAATACTAAGAACAGAACGAAATTCATCACTGCACAGATTGGTGCAAAGTAGTACAGCGAAACTAGCGGATCCATCTTAAACTCCGCTGAGGAGAGCAGCCTCTGAACCATGACAAGTCGGACCGCCTCAAATCCAATTCCGAAGACCTGGAAGATGAATCCGCTGGCATTGAAGAGGATTTCGCCGTAAGAAGCAATCATGACTCCAATCACAATAAGGGTAACCTTCTTCAGGATACCTAAATCCGGACTCCCAACACGTAGTCCCCAAGAGGCGATAAGCACTGCTATAGGTGTGGTCGCCTGACACGAAAAGGTTAACGGTCGACCCCGGGGCAATGCGGGGAGGAGTTTTTACTTTCAGCATCTGGATAAATGATACGCTCAGATACAGATATGCCTTGTTGCTACAGATCAAACTCAAGCTGAAGAACAGGCCAATTGGACAAATAGCGCGCAAGTAGACCTTCCCGGTCATTTTGACCGTCTTCCGGCCATCGAGCAAGGTGCTTGTCCTCGCGAGAATCTGAGTTGTGATGGAGGAAAATAAGAGATGCCATGTTGTTAAGAATATTGCTAAAGCCAATATCAGTTCAATCTCAATTACAGGTATGAGGGGTAGCAAAGATGTGATCGATGAGGGGGCTGGAGTCGTACGAAAACCTGGGTATGATACGGGAGATCAGCAATTACCCAACACAACGGCAACGGCTGCTCAAGGATTTTTCATACGGAAGTTTGTGGTTTTAGGATCTAAAATCCACTTGTTAAATATGATGACAGCGGAACTCAGAGAAATCCACAAGCTGCAAGCAGAAAAAATTAAAAAAATATTAGACATGTCTCAGATGTCCCGCATAAGCAGGGGTGCACTCACACCACATAGAAAGCCGGGTGTATCCTACCCCTAGGCTTCGTAGGGGCCACGGGGGTCGGTGTCCCTACCGCCGGGAGCATGGATTGTGCGGCTGTCGGTGAATCCTCGGGGTTTTCGGGACCCCCCTTCCGGTGAAGGGCCATGGTGATAGGAGGAGCTTTGAGAGAAGAGGAGAGAAAGTTAGGAGGCAAGGGAGTGGGAGAGAAAGATTGGGAGCCCAAGTTGGCTCAATGTTCAAACGGTTTTTAGGGCTGAGCAAGGGAGCTCCTGAACCCCTGATATCTTCTCCCTGAAGCTAGGGTACGGATAGGCCCCAACGGTGATCTTGAAGGGTGCGGATAAGGGACCAGGAGGGATGCGCTCTTCTTTAAAAAGTTCTGGAAATCGAATTCCTCCCCTCCTTTTTTTTTCCAATTCCCCTGAAAGATAAATAAATAAAAGCCAACAGCTCACCGGAGAGATCGCCAAGACCCGTTGAGAGTACGATCCCAACGCTGACTTCGCTTACCCACGAGGCAACGCTAGATAATCCTTCGTTATCTCGAAGAATTAGACGGGGAAAGTATCGAAATGGGGATTTAGGAACCCCCCGCAGCTTACACACCGCCCGCGGGCATCATATGACATATTAAGATCCTTGCAGAGCAACTTCAACACTGAAAATCTGAGAAATGGATATCGATACAGTGACAACACCAACACCGGTACGGTATGTCAGCCACGGTAGAAAATATTTTGAAATGGCCGAAAAGTCTGCCCCTCGCTATTCCCGAACAAGTATTTGGCTGTGTGTTGCCACACTGCTCTGTGAGTTTTGGAAGAAGTAGAATTAGTGTAGTAGTTATTATAGATACTGAGATCATTCCACCGAGATCCATTAATACCATCATAACATAGGCTATAAGAAACTAAACCGTTGTTATTAAACTATGAATGGTAAAATTTCCCTGCCATCAGCTTGTCTGATTAAGACTGATCGTATACCTTATTACTAGCTCTTAGGCCATGCTGATTAATGTTTCATAATAGTCCAAGCATTGTTCTCAGAGACTGCCCTATTATTACTCATAGTATAGTTACTTAATTGTTGATTTGGATTACTAACCTCAAACCTTATTTCCTATTCTAATACCGGTAAGGCTCTTGCGGACTCCCGGTGAGATTCATGATTCAAGGAATTTAAAAGCTGTGGATTGAGCTGCCATGTGTAGATATAGTGGTATTATACTTTTTAATTTTTAATTCATGTATTATTATTTTTGTTGTAGCGTCTCACACCCTGTCCAGTGTTTCTGCGTTTTTTTTACATGCTCATTTTAGAGGCACCCACCATTGTAGAACAGCATACAGTACTAGTATCATACCTAAGCCATAGTAACCGGAAGAAATCCAAAACAGCTTGTACAGTACGGTATTCACTAAAGAGTAAAACACTATATAAACTGTATCCCTCGGAGGCGCTGCCATTCCAAAAGCCCAAGATCCCTTACTGCGCCTACCCATTACCCCCACCACCCCAAGCGGAAAAAAAACACAAGTTGCACACCATGCTGATCCGAAAAAAAAAAAAACATTTGGAAATACCGTTTAACCTAGGAAATTACCGTACAAGTACTACTTCTTCCACGAGGCAGACGCGACAGCTAATGAGGGCGAGAATCCCCTAAAATTTACGGAAACCTTCTGTCAATCACCCAGATGGTGAAATTTAGTGTTGAATCCAAGGGGCGGAAGCGCTGTCCTTCCACAGTAACGGAAGCAAACAGGAAGGGACGTCAAAGGACTCCTCCCAAAGCGCTCTCTTGAATTGACGGACTCCTACAGAATTAACCTTCCGGTGAGCATCCGTGCAAGTTAAAGTGGTGCTTCGTTTTCGTTTCAGGGCCACCGGGTAAGCTTCGAGTTCCTCCTAGGCCCCGGGTAGGAGTTTTTCGGTCCGATCCAGCCAACAGGTGCCGTATAGTGCCCTTTGGGAGGCGCCATAGGTAAACCCCTTTTCAGAGATCCCGAGGGATGAACCCACTATTGGCGACCAAGTTCCCCACCCCGAGACGCTCAGACTCAAGGGTCATCCAAAAAATATTTCCGAGTGAGACTTTGTGAAGATATGTCTCATAGTTCAGAATATCCCAGATGGCACGAGTCAAGAGCCTATGCATAACCAAGAAAAAAATATGGTACGGTAGAGTAAAAGAGACAGGTGTAGTTACAAAATTATAATCCAGTCCAAGACACTCACAACCGGAAGATTCCGAGTCAGAGGACTCAGGTCCGCATGTGCTACAGCAATAACGACACTTTGCGATTTCTTTTGAATCTCGGCTCACAAAAGAGATTTTCACTTCTGCATAAAGGCGTGCACAAGGGGTCGCAGCTCGTATTCTTGCACCAGTGAAGTCCTCCAAAGCGAGTCTGTCAAGGGCCGTGTTTGGGGATGATCTGCTGTCCTGTTAAACCTGCTCGTTCAAGCCACGAAGATAGTCACGAGGGGGTGCCCGGGGCCAGTAAAAAAAAGCGGAGAGAGAGAATATTTACGGAAAGGGTATTGCTGGTGTTGGGCTTACATGTGAGGTCTCTTGGGTGCCGTTATTGGACGCCAGCATTGGTTACTTGCCCATACTAACTAGGGTGAGGTCCTTCCACTCCAGGAGTTTGTTGAGAGGGGTAAGGTGATTTCTCCGAGGGAATTTTGTGGCCTACCAGGAGATAAATGGAGTGGGGACCATCATTGAGGGATCGGATTTGGGCTCACTCCACCTATGACACTTTATTCTTCCCGAGTATCACAAAACTGCAGAGCTGATCGAGAGATTCTAGACTTTTGAAATTATTCAAAGCTTCATAGCACGAAATATGAGATCTTTTATGTTTTGCTAGATATTGATTCGCCAGTCTCCTGCTACGATATTAGCTATCTCCCTTAAGACGATCAGGGGGACTCATTGCCCCATACCTATGGTCTGCAGAGTGATTAGAGTAGAGCAGCGGGATATCATAGCATTAAATGGCTTGTTAGCACCAGTAGTGCCAACTTCCCACTTCCGCGACCGATCCTCGCATGAACAATACGGTTATGAGCGCGTGTGACCTGATAGCCTAGTGATAGGCTCCTAAAACTTCTGTACTCCCCTCCAAGAAGTCACAGATAGCTTCCCGATGGGTCTAGCCAACCACGTTCTGAGAAAAATTTATGTCAATTGTGGAAGCAAAGATAACCCTGGACCATGCAGAAGGCGATGTGCCTTTAGAGAACCCTGTATAAAAGCAGCCACCGCGTTTCGAGGAAACATAGCGCTTTGGGCTAGCCATGAATAGCAATGTTGGGAGGGTATCGTACATGCGATCTGCCCGTCCCCCACACAGTCACTGTGACCCAAAAAATGGGACGATTTCCTCCGTCTCGGGGCCCTTCATCCAACCATGATGTTAGACCCAGTGGGTGAGATCTGACCATCCTACTCGAGTCCGGCTGGGATGGGTTATCGGTACGGTATAACCACTGAGCTAAGGAAAATTATTTCGGTGCTGTGCAAACACTTTCCAAGTGTTATCGAGGGGAATGCATCCCATGGGCCTTGTTACTATTCCCAAGCAGAGGCATCACAGCCCATCATAACCGTGGTCTTCTCTATGTTTGTTTCGGTTTTCTCAATCTCTCCCCAAAAAATTTCCTAGCTTGTCACGCGATCCGGCACAACCCTACAAAAGCGGTGGCAAACTATTTACGCTCCAGTGATGTGCCAGGTGTGAAGACGCCGAGCACGGTCTTGGCAGAGGGCACTGACAGCATTCTATTCTAGAAATCCCCACTAACTTATACTCGAATTCCGCGAGGTCCTTTTCATTCTGCACCCACGCATGCAGGCCTGCTCCCCCGGCACTGTACCGGCGGTTATCCGTTTCTGGGACATTGATCTTCTCGGCGGATGTCCCGAAACCATAATTCTTGCTGGGAGTTTCACTTTAGCAATCTTCCTTCGCTCCTTCCTTGATGGCCAATTTTCCTCCTGGATCTGGTGTTTACCGCAGCCTATATATTCGATCGGTGAAGGTTTCATGACACTAGAAGGCTACACCACCGAAGTAGTCAATCGACTCCAGAGTATTGCATTATTCCTCCCCTCATGCTTGAAGAAATCATAGATACCGGTTGACGCGACCTTATGACCCCGTCGTTCTGATTTTGCGGCCTAGTGTCATCTGCATTCCCTGCATCTTGGTTTCCAAGGGCTGCTCAACATCCTATGTTTTCCACGCCAGATGGCTTCCAAAGTAATGACTTTACGATTAAATACTGTGACAAAGACTATCACGTGCTCTCCTAAGTATTGTATAGGTATCGCTTACCAATAGACTGGAGCCAAAAGCACAAGCGGGTATTAAGGCTGGGGCGAGCGCTCCAGAGCTAAACCTTGGATAATCCCCACTAGCAAGCCAATTTCCTATTTGATTAATGAGAAGTAACAGACCGCCGGGAATATTTATGCCACAGTACCACGAGCCACCCTTCGTCTCCTGGGATACAATCTAAATAAATTGCTTACAAATAGCAAGCACAAACAGTAGTAATTAAGGTTGAGATACCAATGCATAGTGTAGTAAAGGGAAGTATGGGCAAGGGAATAGAAGGTGCATCCCGTAGCCAAGAGAAGAAAGGTGTTTACCACTAGCCTTTGGAGGTGGCCCTCTAACGCATTCTTATCTCAACGACAAGCACCCCGACACTCCAACCCACCAAACCTAATCCAAGACACCGTGGGCATCAGCGGGAAGACTTGAAAAAAAAAATGCGGACTCACCAACACACAAATCCACCCCTTGCTCAATCCCCGAACGCGTGGTATTCCGGTTACCCGCATTATGATTGGAGTGGTGCCCGGGGGAGGGTGTCCCGGAAACTTATGAGTGGAGGGCCCCCAGCTTGAAAAGTAAAATCTGAGTGTGAAAGCGGTGATGAGAGGGTGTAGCGGAACAGGATTGCACCTCTTCCCATTCCCGGTAGCTATGAATAAATAGCTGAGTCCTCCTAGGCCTCGATTCCCAGGAGTCAGCACTACTTGCAAGCCTAAAGTTTGAGGACAACGCTACAGCATAGGAGCATCACCACAGCGCCCTGTCTCCTATCATCCAGTACTTAAATTGCGCTTAAAGCAGGACCCCACAAGATGGATATCGTGGGTTCCGGATATCTTGATCTCTCGTTGAAGGTTAACGTTCTAGTATTGATTCTAATTCTGGAATATCGATATTTTTAAACAAGTCTCTACTACTCGCTGAAGAAGACCTGAGAACTCTAAACGTCAGCTAGATGTCCCAGGAAGTTGGGCATCATGTCATATGGGTCATGGTATGGTATCTACCCTCCCAGCCTTGACCACGTTATCTAACGAGTAACACAGGAGCGCACAGCAGTTGTCTCGCCGATGATTCCTAGAATCGGTTTTCTTTATAGGGGCTTAGCCCAAGAGCATGTTTCACTAGGGCTCCTCCGAGAGTTAGTTTTTTTAAGTCTTGGCCGCGATATTTTTCTAATAGTTAGTGATCCTAATAGCTTTGCCGAAGCCACTACCGCCAATTCACGTGACGTATTTGGTATTCACTCGCCTACACCCGGACGGCGGGGAAGCTCGTTGGGGACTTTGAAATATCGGATTGAGAAATTTTGCCGCTTTGCTGTCTATCAGTTCAGGCTATATCCCAGAAATTTTAGTTGCTCTTTTCCAGGTAATTTAACCATTTCCCCGATTTATCACGGCAAGACTGTTGATATTGATAGTGTTTTTTCTGTTACCTCAGCACAAATATGATTGACACCCTCGAGGGCCGGAGGCTTTTCCAAGTTTATATCCGGGTTTGTCTAGGCAACCGTTGTTTATTGCCCACTCACTTGCGTAGTGTCTTTCTCACCCACCTGTTAAAACTTAAAACCCGAGTGATTAACTATGATTCACAGTGGACTTGGAATCGGGATAGCTTTACTAACCCTCTTCACTAGCCTACGTCGGTAGCAACCCGGCGCGCCGCTTCTAGTTTCTCGGCATTGAGTTATGCCTAATTCTTGGAATGAGCCAGGGCTGCTGAAGAAAGGAGCATAGAAAAACGTCTCACAATGTCGCAATGGTCTTTCCTAGAACATACTTTATTTAGTTTGGGTGGTTTCGCTTCAACAAAGAAAGCACCTTAAATACCACAATTAGGGCTGTGTACGCAGTGCTTAGCAGCAACACAAGCTGGGAGTATCTTACCTACTCTTGTTCCCCTACCTAAAGTTGGCTGACTTGCTATCCTAGACCGGAAAGTTGCGTATCATTGAATGGGTTGGCACCCATTATGTAAAAAAGAAGGGAATGCTCTCTGTCGTAGGTGCTTGTGGGGGAACTATCGCAGGTATTTTGGCCACTCTGGGTAAGGGTAAATATTTGAATTCAAGACTCATATTTTGCAGGGCTTGTTGTAATCACGCCAGCTGCTGGATATGTTGCCGTTCGGTATGCGGGCAGGCATCCGGAAACATCTCCATACGTGAACCGCAGACTAAACTCACTGACCAAATATGAAGCTCCGATTGGCCCCATTACGGCGCCGCCTGCTCCCCTTACAGGGCATCAATCTCTGGACTCGCATAAGACGAAGGAAAGGATGCGCTCAGGCCCTACGGAATCGGGGGCGTAGTTGGCGCCTTCCTGATTGGAGTGTCTGCATGCGAATCGAGTATCATAATACCCATCAAATACCCTTCTCCCATCTGGGATCATCAGGCTCATATATGTATGTTGGGGGGGGGGGGGGTTAAGTAAGCCCGTCGGACTGTATGACCTCAGCGCCTTCGGCCATTAGCAGAAACGGGGCTCGGGCGGCCAAGTAATTAGTAGATATACTAACAATAGCCGGCTACTCGTTCACCATGTCGACCGTTCTCTTGTTGGGGACAAAGCACCTCCCACCCTTCAGTTGTGCCACCCCAAGGAAGTCGAGATTCGAGGTCTCAATCGGCCTGAATTTCGCGGAGATGAAGCGGGGGAACTGTGTGGGTACGAGATGGCAGGCTAGTCGTGGGTGTATTACCCCGAGTACTGTGCTCCACAGCACCCTGCCACCAGAGTGGCCAGGGTACCGGTACTCAACAGCAACAGCAGCCGGAATTCAAAGAGCACAAACCCTCGGCTATGGAGACTGCAACGCCACCAAAGAGCTCTGCAACCCCGTCTGGTGATTCCGCCCCAGTTGCATAAATTGCGATGGAGCGAGTGGCTGAAGGTCAACGATTCCGAGTAGAGTAATAATAATAATAGTTCAGTGGAGGGTGAGGCTTCTTTCACGCATGATTTCGATACGGCCTTTTGCGGCACAGCACCTAATTGCAGAAGGAGTCCATTCTACTTTATGCTTCGTATGGCCTGCGATTGGATTAAACTACCGCGAGGGAGATATAATAGATAATCGTGGGCGATACTCGGGATACATCACAATCCATCATATGTACCTGCGCCACACCGGCACTGTACTCACGACAAGCTAACTCAACCGGGAGATCGGGATAATCCACTGCTCAGTACGGAGAGTTCCATTATTCCCAAACAGCACAATTACAAATAAAAGCTTAAAATTTTAATGCGGAACTCGACACGCTCTTCCCCCGGCACTTGGGCGCTCACACCCCGGCGGTTAGGAAGCGCGAGCCTTGTGCGAGTGATCCTTTGGTAAATTTACAGTACCCACCGTGCGGTAGGATGGGACTGCAAGCAAGGCAGGAGTTTCATCAGCCCTACCACTTCATGTGCGTATTTCGGAGATTAATTCAGCGTGGCTTGGTGGTGCCTCGGATACCGGTACCGGTACTGTACGATACTCCAGCATAGTATTAATACTAGCACAGCACTATGGGTAATCGGAAAGCTCCGTGCTACCCTACGGGAGTAGAGCACGCTACCGGTGCTCGTATGATACTGCAAAACCAGTCTACAGGAGTTGCAGGTAACTGTGCTACTGACGATCTATCGCAGATACCGTACCGTACTGTACGATGCCACGGAGCCGCCTATAATAAATAGTATCCCCTCACGATCCCACATGCCATCGTATTCACGGACAAACTTCCCAGCGCTGGATCCTCAGTGTTATGCAGGCTGCCCGCCCGTCTGCTTGGAATACTGGTGTTGTGGGCCGATACGATGGCAGTGAACAGTATATTTACTGCAAGATCGACCGAGGCGCTTATGTGTAGGATTGTAGTACACACTAAACCGAGGATACGGGGGAAGAGGGCATTATGGAAGCTTCTATTTTATCTTATCCTCCGGCCAGGCTCGGACTAAATCATCGGATCGGATGGGAGATGTGGGTGGGGGCTCGGGGAGTTTTCTCTTGTTGGAACTACGACCTGGAAAGTGTCGGGGAAGGAATAGGTACGTACCGGCGCATTATCGTACAGTGCCTACCATGCCAAGTGTGCAGAGTAAACTTTAATTTACTGGGGAGTCCCCGTAGAGACCAGTGCTAGCACTCGAGCACAGCGCTCAATGCCATATTATCTCATCCATTATCCATGTAACCACAACACCCGTGATGCATGGAGAGTATATTATGATACAGCACCGCCCCACGCTCACAGCACGTCAGCCGGGAGCAAGCGAAATCAACCCACAATTGGGCACAGCAGAGCACAGTACTGGACAATATAACGAGGAACGGGCGGCTACGGTCGGAAAGACTAATTACTGAGAGGACTCGGCATCGTTCTATTCCACCCGACATAATCAAGCCACAGCCCACCGAACCTCACCCGTACCTTATCATGAAATTTAATGAAGGATTGTCTTGGCGTAAGCTAATGCGAGATCTCGTCTGCATATACTAATCGGTGCAATGCTTTATCAAAGGAAGGGAGGATACATCAACCGCCGCCGACCTGACCAGTTTTCCAGTTTCTCCAGCAAGCTATCTAGTTGGTCCCGGTAAACTTGACACGTTTATTGTAACAATGTTTCTTCGTTTAACTCTGCCAGTGCTCTCCCGACGCAAGCGGGCGGGGGAGGAGGAGGGGGGTTCACAGTACCTACGCTGCAGTATGGGAAAGTTTAAGCGTATTGTTGCGATGTGTGAGCTGACTTTGAGCGGGCGGTATTGTACCGTACGACCCTGGCATGACGAATGAATGGAGGAGTAGTGGATAGATAGCCCATCAGTTTTCGGACTACAGGGCATTGATACTGCCGGGACATGAAGGTGGGGGCTGTTTACCCGCCGTTTACTATGTAGAGTACAACGTACGGTATTGTACTACTAACGTACCAGTAGTGCAGAGCAGATCTGAGTGTCATGGAGTGTTCAAGCTTCATCCCTCATACTTCAGCGCACACCGCTCTGTACTGAGTCGACCTATCACTAATACACCTGCAGGAGCGTCCGACCTCCTTCCGTTCCCTTCAATCCCATCCTCCGTGTTACTAAACCGAACCCGACAGACAGCCCAAAGGGTCAAACAACACCCCGCCTACAGCCTACAAAATCCGATATCATACCTTTTATAAAAGCCCCATGGGCCCCCCATTCGAGGCCTCTCCTTCTTTCTCTCCCCACCTCACCACACCACACTACCCTCCTTATCCACTCTCTTTTGCAGTACAGTGCAGTACATTGATCCAATTTCCAACTAGGCGCAAGCAGCCAGGGTTCGATACCAACTTGTTTACATTCCTTCCCTCCGTTCTATTCAAACTATCCATTCACTCTTTGGCCCGGGTGGTCTATCGGCTTGCGTCTTCAACTCTTCCCATACAACGCCACAACACGTTCATCGCCCCAATTACCAGGCCCAAAACTCACTCAAAGCAAGCAATATCCAATTTTGAGATTACAAAAAAATGAAGTTCACACTCGCATCACTCGTTGCCATTAGCGCCGTTTCGGCCGTTCATGGGCGTGCCAGTATGATACAACCACATCCCCCCACTTGAGATACGGCAGCTAACAATTAATATAGTCCCCGCATCCCAACCTGGAGCAATCTGGGACCGCCTCTTCAGTCGTTTCGAGGCCAGAAACGATTATGGCTATCACACCGAGGATATGTATCCAGGGATCAAGCCCACGGGCACCCAAGGAGTGGTTCCGCGCCCCGGGACGAGCGGAAAGCCGACTGGTACTGGGACGGGAATTGGAACCGTGAGTTGCCCGCCCGAATCTTGCGTGCCGATCCGTGGCTAACGGAGATCACCTCAGGGAACTGCAATCTATGGTACTGGAACGAGAACCGCCATCTACGGTACTGGAACGAGAACCGCCATCTACGGTAGCGTAACAGGATCCGCCATTTTCCCGAAAACCATAATTAGCGTTCCCCCAAGTGTAAGTTTCTCCCCCTCCCCCCTCCCCGCTCCTCCGCCAATGTCTCCATAGTCCCCGGCTAACCCCCAGCCAAAAGACCCCCACTACAGCCCAAGGACCACACAAGCCCCGATTAGTGGCCCAAGCGCTTCCATTGTCCCGAACACCATAATTAGTGTTCCCCCAAGTGTAAGTTTCTCCCGCTCCCCCCCTCCTCCGCCAATGTCTCCATAGTCCCCGGCTAACCCCCAGCCAAAAGACCCCCACTTCAGCCCAAGGAACCACACAAGCCCCGATCAGCAGTCCAGTCGCTTCCATTGGCCCAGCCTCAGCATCGGCCGAGCAGGACACTTTCACCGCGCCCGTCAGCCAGGTCACCTCGACAAAGATGGTCACCCAGATCAGCTCGACAAAAATGGTCACCCAGTTGCCGCCCACGACTCAACCGTCTGCCACGCTAACCGCACCCGTCGCGACGTTTTCACCCTTCAGACGGGAGTAGCAGCCACGTTGTGGTCAGCACCGTGACGACTACTATCTCCGTCACCATCACTGCGCTAGCAGTTACGTTTATGGCGGTGGGCGGGGGGTGCGAGGGCGGTCACCAGGCGTATTAAACAGGCACTATCGCTAGTTTTTGTGGGATCTGGCAATCCTGGAGTTTTTTTTTTCCTTATTTTTTCCTTATTTTCTTTTATTTATCCCCACTCCCTCTACCACGGTTTCTTATCGATAGGGCTATCTATCTACCAAGTTACTGGTGAGAGGGGGGTAGAGCTGCGTGGTGTAGAGGATTGAAATGAATTGAATCGGGTTCGAAACCTTGAATGTACCGTATCATACTGTAGATTGTGGAAATTAAAAGAAAAGAAAAAAAAAACTTGAGTGTTTCCCGATCCATTCGTTCCATTATGACGTGCTATGCTACCAGTATACACGTACAGAAATTCCCAGCGCGATTATTCGAACTAACCGGAAGTATCGTATCATACGCGGTGGGGTTATGGAATGGGTTCTGAACGGAACCGATACGTACGTACCGGCCCGGTAACCTGGATCCGGGGTCGACGGTGGTTTGGAGGGGGACTTGTCCCAGGCAATAAGTAAATAAGTATGATACTTCAGTGCCATACCGTTCTCGAGAACCCAGAAAGAGGAGTTGGCAAAATATGTGACAAAAAGGTTCCCGAGTGTAATATGGCATCGCAACCGAGCGCCTACCGTATACAAATTCACAAACCTATTTTTTTTTTTCGGGGGCCCATTACCTAAGACAAGCAGACACGGGGGGGGGGGGTTCAAGTCAGTGCACCGATTCCTAGGCGATCGGGAGTCGGCAAACCTGTTTCAAAGAGAATACTTGTCTGACATCTCTAGCAAAAAGACCAGAGAGAAAAAGGGTGTCTTGGAATCATCATGAATACTCACTCGGTATGAGTGAACTCCACCAAACCCCTTGTTGAAACATTTCCTAGGGCAGAAATACTTGTGTTGGTATGATACGACACCCGCAACAAAACATAGTTTACCTCTCTAATAGACATCTAGAGACCCAAACCTAAATTTTGAAAACCCCTAGCGGAAGGGGTAATATAAAAGCAAAGAACCACAAACCTCTTACTACTCACCCATTCACCTCCTGTTTTCTCTCTTCTCACCCATCCACCGCAGCGACCACACGATCGAATCCGCCCCCACTCACAGAGAAAGAGGGAGGCACCACCACCACTACCATCAAAATTACCCTTGAAACAACGAAATGGACAACTCAATCATAAACTCCCCTTTCCCGCACCACTCCGAACCCCCGTTCGTCAGCCCGTTCATAACTCCACGCTCCCGCTCCCGCTCACAAAACCCGACTATCCCCACCACTACCCGTACCAAGAGTGCACCCCCCCCGGTGGCGAGAGGGCATGGCACAACCAGAGCCACTACTCCGACCGTCACTAGCCACCACACGGTCGGCACTCCACTCCCCACCAGAACCACCCCTAGACTATCAACCCTCTCCCACCCCACACATGCCACCTCGAGCCCCCGCTACGCCCAGGAAACCATCTCTTCCGCTGCAAAGCGTAGATACAGGGAGGGGGAGGATGGGATGGCTGAAGGAATGCACGAGAGAATTGCGGTGCTGGAAGCGGAGATTCGTATGCTAAGAGAGCAGAGAGGGTGGCTCTTCGAGATGATTGAGGGGCAGAAGAAGGGGGACCGGATCGTAGGGGGTGGTAGAGGGAAGGATAAATGGGATGGTAATAGCAATGGGGAGAAGGTTATTGTCGTTGGTGATGATAACAACGATGACGACGGCGATGGCAATATGGATGATCCTGAGGTTGCGAGGGAAGAGGGGAAGGGAGACGGAAAGGGCAAGGGGAAGGGGAAGGAGGAGGAGAGTGAGGTTTAACTCGGTGTGGTGCAATCGGCTGTTTGCTCCGCTGCTTGCTAATTTGGCTCGAGCATACTCCAGGACCGATTGCCGAGAGTATGCTTAGTAGTCTGCTCAAAGTTATTATCACCTCAATGTTCCACGCATACGGTATCACTTCTAATTAGGCATATCCACCTTCTCAGGGATATAGAATTTCATTCATTTCACGTGACCGACGAGTGAGGAGTTGTGACCGCTCGTATTTCCTTCCACTTCACCAGTCTTACTAATAGTTAAATTTAAATCATGATAGCACGCTCTATTGCTAGAAATTTATTTCCTTTCCTTGGGGTTTCTCCATAGTGCTTCTTTATGCAACCACGAGGGAATTTGTGCGATTTCACGGAAACACTAATGCTACTAGTGCAGCAGAAACATAGCTCTATCAACACAATGTCCCAGACTTGACCGAATCACCCATGGTGACAACCGTAAGATGGATATGCGTTAGTTAAAACAAGCAATCTTAGATCCGTAAGACGATCCCGGCCAGGTAGAGGGAAAACAGAGAGAGAATTCTGTACACAACCCCGGAAAAAAAGAGAGAGAAGAAAAAGAAGACAGCACCAGATGAAGAACTAGCGAGTGTGATATGAAAGATAGGGATTATAAGTACATGTTTCAATTTCTCAACTACCCAACCCTTCATCTGTATGTCGTCCTAAGTAGATCTCTAAATTCCTCCACATCATCTTCCTTAATCCCGTCGATTTCCCCAACAATTTCCAAATCCGCTTTCATTCTTTCCTCGTTCGTAGTCCCGTTCAGAACACAGACACCACCGCCAGCCTCCCATCCTCTGCCTAGTGCCAATACGAGAGCGTACATCGCCTGTTCCACCGTCCAGCCTCTCTCCGCGGCAACCTTACTGACAATCTCACTCTTGACGATCCCAGGATTCGCAGTGAGCGTCCAGAAACCCTGGTAGATGATACCGTGCTCCCGGCAAAACTCCAACAACGAAAGGTCATAGCCGGTGTCCTCGTAAAACCTGTTCTGCACAATCGAAGGCGGGACCGAAATGACCGGGCTAGAATACAGTGCGGCGAGAATCGGCAGCGAGCAGTTACTGATCCCAATATGCTTTACTTTCCCGGCAGCAACGAAGCCTTCCAACACCTTCCATGCGGATAAGGTCGCCTCTAGGGTACGCAGCGGGGAGTGTAGAAGCAGCGCATCGAGACATTCCACACCCAGGTTCTCCAAGGAACGTTCCACTGATGCACGGACCTGTTTTTGAAGCGGGGCAGCGGGGTCGTAAGGGATTGTCGCGGGGTCCTGACCGGCAGGTGAGGAGAATTTGGTTTGGATGAAGAGGGAGTTGCGTGGGAAGAGGGCTAGTGCTGGCCTTATAAGATCCTCGCGGTAGTGCTTCGGCTGGTTCGCGGTATCAAGGCCCCGGAAGCCAGCCGATAGAGCGGTAGATACGAGGTCGGTTGTTGAGGCAGATTTCCAGGCGGTGCCATAGAGGAAGAGAGGATGTTGGGAACCAGTTGTGGGTAGAATGAGAGTGGGAGGCTGCGGCGAGAAAAATGGTGGAGGGGTAGTACTCGCGGATGGGGCCATTGTTGAATTGGCCGGTGATCGCGTCTGGCTTATCAATATAGAAACGGGTCGAGAAGAGGAAGAAATATGTGGTATCTGGGGATGAGAGAGGAAGAAATAACAACGCAGGTGAAGGTTTTCAGTCTGGCGGGGGGGTGGTGTGTTCGGCAAGGAAGGGGGGGTGCTAGTAGGAGAGAAGAGCACGAGACCAACCCCCAGGGCATGGTCAATAGGCGCAGGACGGAGGGTGGGATACGGTACGAGACTCGAATTGAGAGGCAGGAGGGTTGGATCTGTTCGGGCCCGAAAGTCCGGTATGATAGTTTGTTGGGGAAGAGGGCGACTGGAGAGATTTTTTCTTCTTCCTTTCTTTTTCTTCCCGTTGTTGTTGCATCTACAGTACGGGCACGGTAACATCTGCGTTCGGGGAGGGCGAGAAGCAGCAGGCAGTCGTCCATCCCGCCACCCATGATCCATACAAATTCCAACCAATTCCCAACCCAAGAGTGTTTAACGTGACGTCGATAGATGGAGCGAGAGTGAGACCCTGCGTCATGCGCCGCTCTTTTGCCCTCGAGCGCGCACCAATTATCGTACTCGAGTGCTGTACCGATAATCTCAAGCTATTCATCCACCCAACAAACAGAACTGGCTCCCCCTTAGCCGTGGTGCAGTGCCGTACTGTGCTCGAGTATGATACCCGTACGATACTCTATGACAGCCCGGACTCGAAGAGGATTGAATTCCCCCCTGGACGAGGGACACCAGCCAAAAGACCATTGAACATCCAGGCGTCCGTGAGATAGCGGTAGAGGGGTGCCGAGGGATTAAGAGAGAGCATGTACGAGCACGGTTGGGCACCTTCTGATGGTAAAAGTTGGATGCTTCGTGTCCGAATTGGATACTGTTGAACTTGGCGTGCAGCCTCAAACAATAAAAGGGGCACAAACCGCACGGTGTTGGTGGGTTGTCGGACGGATCGGTAAGTTACTCGGCACTTGAATCGTCCCTCCCAGGCGCACCGTACAGTACGGTACCGTGGTCTGCAGGATTGGTACTGAACTGACCGAGGCATTGCACCGGACTGTACTCTACTGCGGAAATACCGTACCGGTCGTCTCCAACTGCTGCACTGCACCGTACTGTACGAGTTCTCGCACTGTAGTCTGCTCGTGGCTTCTACACCAGTTCCTTCAACACACACCCCGTGTCCCTCTCGGAGCACTAGCTTACCGGTATAGTCTACTTGTACTGTACGCACGGGTATGTTGGGTCATGGGGCCACAGGATTGCCGGCAACAACGCCCGAGCCTCCTTGGCAAAACAATTAGACTAGATTTATTCACCCATCGTGGAGACTTGTCAACCCCAGAATACTCGAGTACACGGAAGCCACCCCTTCAAATCATACCCAGCACGCCCCGCTTCCCTCCCCAGAGTCGTCTCTCTCCCCGCTCGCTGTGACCGCTTGGAGGGGCGGATAAGGAGGTGCAAATCTCATCCTTGCCTGCCCAACAAAAATACATACCCCGCTTATCCCTACGGTATCATTGTTGACTGATCCCCACAAGTGCAAGTTTAGCTGCCTTTTCGGGTGCCCGTTCCGTACTGTACAGTGCCAGCACAGCGCAGTGCAGTACATACGAGCACGGGCAATTATCTCGGCATCGTATGTTTGCGTCCGTATGTGTCCGTTCGTTGTTCGGTTACTGAAGGATGATGGAGACGGTCATGACTTGGGAGCTCTGCTCTCACCTTGAGCCAACTATATACCAATCCTCGGATATTGGATATGGACATCGACAAACTCGGCTGACCTTCGCACGCGCAAACACCGAAACCTACCCGACCTCCTCACCTGTGTGCTTCCTCTGATAATAAAAGTGGCTCTGCCTGAGCATCAAAGGTATGATATTCCTGATGCCTCATCAGGAATACCCGACCCTCGCCTTCTCCTGAATTCTGTGCCCTACATTTTTTGTACCGCAGCATCTCCCCCCCCCCCCCCCGCACTTACGACACCCATCTCCTTTGCTTATAGGGGGGTCCGATTCCCGGAGCCCAGCGGTGTAACACCCGTGCCAGCGATCGATTGATGGATTCCTGGCGCGTGCCGCACTGGCACAGTGCGTATCATACCTTACCCAACAATCTACCGTGCTCCAGTGATGCCTCAATTCAGGCTGACAGCACGCTATCGGTAGTGGGAGGGTTAGGGTAACAAGCGAGGAGCCTTGCAATGCTTGGCGGTGCATGTTGGCCCTCTGCTTTCTCCAGGAGCTTCCCTCCAACCCTAACAACCTCCTCCCTCACTCTTGGGACCTTCCATTTACTTTTGAAGCATTCTGTGGCCAATCCTCCACTCTACCTCACTCCCCTTCAGGCATATATACCATCTAACTCTCCTGAAAGACTCTTCCTCCAAAACCTCACTCCCCCGGTAGTCCTCACCCAAAAAAAAAATGCCACGGGGGGGTTCTGCTAAAAGGAGACAAAAGCAGAAATTCTATGCGGTATACAAAGGCCGAAATCCCGGAATTTTTGACGATTGGTGGCTTTTTCCACATTCTACTGGCGATCTTTGTGTGGCTGATGTGCAGGTGACAGGGTCGAAACTAGATTGCAGGTTGAAGGATTTTCGGACGCAACGTTCAAGGCCTTCCCATCGCACGCTGAAGCAGAGTCCTGGATCTATGAGCAACGCGACAAGGAGATACGCCAGGAGAATGCTCGATTAGAAAGGGATTACCCCGATACTGATGATGACCCGGATGCCGGGGAGCAACGCGGTAGCAGCTATCCGCCGCTCCCTCAGGATAATACTGGATTAAAGGTGGATTACCCGGATCTGGACGCCTTGCCTGCTCGTTTGAACGCCCGTGGTGGTGATGGGCCAGGCGCGCCTCCTTATGTTTCCCCCCCCGAAAGGACTCCCCCCTCCTTCACCCCAAGACAGAATCCCGAACATTTATGCCCTCTCAAACCTGAACAAGAGCGCGTTCTCGCCCTGGTGAAACAGGGACATAATGTGTTTTTCACGGGCCCAGCAGGCTCCGGCAAATCGCTAATCTTGAAGCACATAAAACAATATCTTGATGGCGTAGGAAGAACCTACGCTGTAACTGCCCCAACCGGGATTGCCTCAGTACTCATTGGTGGTCAAACAATCCACTCATGGAGCAGGGTTGGGAAAGGAGATAAGCCGGCAGTTTGTTACATAAACAAGTTGAAAAGCACTATCAAACATCCCGATGCCAAGCTACTGGGCAAGTCCGCCAAGTCGGGGGAAACAACGTGGAAGGAGACGCAGGTTTTGATTATTGATGAAATTTCCATGGTAAGTCCCGACTATCCCATCGAGTGGACAGAGAGGGTCTATTAGCTGAGTCAGGTACTTGCAGCTATCCCCGGACCTCTTTGAGAAGTTGAGCGTGATAGGCCAGCATGCAAGGCACGTCAACGGGCACCCTGTGGAAGCTCCCTTCGGTGGCATGCAACTCGTCATGTGTGGGGATTTCTTTCAGCTTCCCCCAGTTGAAAAGGACTCGGAAAAAACGTGCTATCAATGCGGTATGTATACATTCCCACCTGACTGAATTTAGAGATAGGACTAATTGGAGTTACTAGGGTACCCTATCACCCCTCGCGAGGAGCGATCCTATTTACCGCCGGATCACGGTTACATTACCGAGCGCATTGAGTTCCTAAACGAAATCCATGCTCTTCGTGTTGATTCTGCCCGATGGTCCCACTGCTCTAGAACCGGCCGTGACAGAGAAGTGTGCGGCCACCTCTGGAATGAGACTATCAAGTATTGCTTCCAGACCCCAACTTGGTTCAAAATAGGATTCAACTCGGTTGTTCTTACCCAGGTCTTCCGACAGGCTGACCCGGCTTGGATAGAGAAGCTCGGGAAATTGAAAGTTGGCCAAGTGACTCCGGATATAATGACTTTCTTGTTGGGCCTCCGGCGGCCTCTTGGTGAACTAGCAAGTGGCGTTAAACCTACAAGGCTCTATACGCACAGGAAAACAGTTGTCGATGAGAACGATCAGGAGTTCAAGAAGCTGAAGGGTACCGAATACTGTTTTGATGCCATCGATGAAGGCACCATCAACAAAGGCACTGGATACTCGAAAACGGTTAACCCCCAAGAGCTTGAAGAATATCGTAATTCCCCGTTGCTACCCGATTCTAGGCGATACGCTAATTCTATCTAGACTTTTTTAAAAACCTTCAGGTTCAAAAGGAGATGAAACTCAAGCACGGTGCCCAGGTTATGTTGCTTTTTAATATCGCACAGAATGATGGTCTGGTCAATGGCTCCCGGGGTGTTATCAGCGGTTTCCAGCAGATGAATTACAGCACCTTCATGTCCGGCCGTGTCGCCCGGGATTTCGAGCGTCCCATGTTAAAGAAATACTTTGAGCTCAAGCAACAAGACGGGAGAGTGCGGATTCCACTTGTGCACTTTACTACGCATCCCACCCCGATCCCCATCCTGCCTGTATCTTGGAATACAGAAATCCCACTGTTCTATGGCTCGATGTCTTATGGTGGCAGAGATATATTGGGGCTGAGTAGGATCCAGATTCCTCTCGCTCTGGCATGGGCCACAACGGTGCACAAGAGTCAGGGAATGACCCTCGATTACGTTGCGGTTGATGTTGGCCATTCATTTGCCCCCGGGCAAGCATACGTAGGGCTAAGTCGCTGCAAGAGCCCTGGAGGAATGCAAATACTGGGTGGCGGTAGGAACCTGGAGAAGGCCTTCCTAGTGGATGAAGGGGTCCTCGAATTCAGCAAGCGGTTGGAGGAGCAGTTAGCAAGGGATAAGGAGAATGGAGATGGAGACGGAGATGGAGAAGCAGCAGTGGGGCAGGAGGGTGGACTTGGTCAGAAGCGCGAATACGCTAAGTATAAAGAGGAAGACGGGTCTGGCGAGTTTGAGGACGATGTGCACGACTGGGAGCGCGTTTCCAGTCATCCAACATTGCCTTAATTTCATAGCACTGGGAAAAAAAGGAAAAAATTGATTTTGGCCGGGGTGTCGGTGACTGACCATCGGTGGTGGACCTAATTCTGCCCGCTCACCGAGGCTGAAATCCAGGGAGTCTTTTTGTCTACTCTTAATCGGGGTCTCGGATGCATGGGTTTGGCGTTTTCATTTGGCTTGTCTCTTCTATATCCTTGTTTGAGTTGGTGTGTACGGCATGGATCAATGCGGGATGTAATGTTTCCTGGGAGTGGCAGATCATCGATCAAAACACTTGTAGCAAGATAACCATTATATGTACAATAGTTCAGCTAGAGTCGGGACTGTGGTTTTTTTTCCTTAGCGGGGACATACCAGCCCGTCAAGCAGGAACAAATGTTTAGTTATCCGGTTTGGCTAGTTTATGGCACTTTATCTTGGGATTAATGGAGGAGCTTTGTTGAACTTACCATCGGGGCATAGCTGCGAAGTGCGCATGAGGCGAAAGAAACGAGTACTATCGGCTGCAGTGGCGAATGCTCTAGTCGCGGAAGTAGCTGAGGTGAGTACGGTAAGGTCTTTGATGCGATCCGTGCTTGCCATAATCCTAGGCCGAGAGATAAACAAAGACGGTGTTTGGCCCGCTGTGATTTGAGCTAGTCACTACCTCAAATCGTGATTTCAGATATCCACGGTGTTTGGCTCGACACTGTTTCCAAATAGTGGTTTGAAACCCCTTTTAACGAGCGCACTCTAAAAGATCCAGAATTTAGGGCAAGGATAGTTGTATTCACAGTATGATAATAAACATTAATTGAATAGTAATCATAATTAAGAACTTTTCCTATCATATGATTGGAAAAAGAAAAAAAAACTAGGAAATCGTACCCCATGTCCATATTATCCCGATTCTACTCCAAATCATGATCTCAAATTTTTACTTTAAAAAAAAAAAAAAGGTGTTTAGCAGAGCGCAGTTCCCAAAATCGTGAATTATAAAAAATATATAAAAAAAAGTAAAAATAAAAATGCGAAATCTCAATTTGGAAATCATAGTGTGCTAAACACACACCCCCCAAAAGACTTGTGAAAAAAGAAAATGGAAAAAAAAACAAAAAAACAGATTTTCGTTTGGTTGGTGGGCTATGGGAGGTGGTAAATGTTAGCTGGTACTTGTACCATAATCATACTACTCGAGTACGGTAATGTACTATAATCATACTAATCTACTAAAACCAGCTACCGTGATGGTTATTATACCGGTAATACCGTAGCTGCTTGTACTTGTGCTCCGGACTGTAGGTCTCGGGAGGTCGGTAGTATGGGTGCAAAGTGCCAATGAAGTGGAGAATCTGTGATATCATATCAGATCATACCGGAGGCTCTTGAAATGACCCTCTGCGAGTAGGGCTATGGCCAAAAGAGGGTATGCGCGGATACTTTGGGGCGGTGCTACTGTGACCCCTTTCTTTTTTAAGGGTTTCACCGTTTTCACGAGTGTGGTAACTGATGCCTAGGGAACTATCATACGTCACCGAAGGTCACTCGGGAAATCCACGTGCCGTAGCCACCATCGGAATATCCCGGTACTTTTTTTGGGGGGGGAGAGCGACTGAGGAATGTTACAATAGCCGTGTACCTTAATAGCAAGACGTAGCATAATAGATGAGAAAACAGCTATCTACAAAGGAACTAAAAACAAGACTGAAAGAAGGAAATGCACCTAAGAATAGACACAGAATGAAAAGTTGGGAGGAAAAAAAAATCCGCAAAAAAAAGCCACACACATTACTCCAGCCGAAAAGAAAAGAAGTCCTAGTAAGTTGGGGCGAAAAGTTTCGAGAGACCAGCCGGATTACAGCCACCCGTAAAAGGATCCCTAGGAAACGCCCAGAGTGTTAGAGGCTAGCCTCGTATTCATGGGCAAAGCCTCATCCAAATTGACAGAATCCGTCCAGAAGCACAGAAGAGTCTTCCCAGTGCGGCTGCTGGAGAGCACAGTGCCGTACTTTTTCATGACGCGCTTGGCCTCCTCGACATCCTTCTTCCTCTCCTGTATGAGGATGCGGCGCTTCTCCTCGAGTGAAAGCGGCTTGCTAATGTACTCCTCACGCACAAAGTCGACGAAGGTGACGATATCCTCGAGCGTGGACATGGCGCCGAGCGAAGCCCTCAGGGCCCCGATATGATTCCCATCAATCACGTCCTGATCATCACCACACATCTTCCCGGCGTTGAAGAAGCCTATCATCTTCTCCTTGCTGAGGCGACAGTAGTGTTGCACGCCGCCGGGATTGCAGTGGCCGCCGGAGCGCACGTGTATGTTCCTCGCGCTAGCAGCCGCCTCGACGGCCAGGTAACTGATGGGCTCCCCGCGGGAGTCGCGGAGATTGAATGTGACGACGGGACCCTGCCGCTTCACGTCACCGTACTTGCCCTCGGTGTATATCTCCACCAATTTCCGGCCCGTGCTACGGTGCGTGAGCTCCGCCAGCATACCGACCAGCGCTACCGCAAGGGAAGCGGTGTGCGCGGATATTTTCTCGAATGATTCGTAAAGTTTTTTGTGCATGTCTATGGCGTGGCCAAGTGCAATGATGCTGTGGAAGGCGCATGTGCCGTCCTCCAGGTGCTCGTGTGGGTCTTTGTGGTACACCCGCTTCACGTGGTCCATCGATGCCATCAATTGCCCAACGGTGCCACCGCCGAAATATCGTCTGTGCTGCAGGATGCCAGCCGCCTCCCGCCGCACGATGAGCGCACCGAGGTCCGGATAGCCGAACATCTTGTAGAAGCTGCAGACGATGAAGTCCGGTGAGGCATCCGCGTCGGAGAGGTCAAGCGGGGAGGTCATTACCAGAGCTGCGGCATCGAAGAGCGAGTAGTACCGCCTTCCCCGCATCTCGCGGAGTTTGGATGACCACGCGTGGATGGGCAGGCGGCGGCCGGAGAAGTTTGACTGGCCGGGCCAGGCAAAGAGACCCAGCCTTCCTTCCCCGCCTTCCTCCTCCTCCTCATCCGCAGAGTCTAGCCAAGTCTCGACCTCCTCATCTCCCCAAAAGCACTCTGCAGACCCCGCCAACCCTCGCGGCCCGATCAAACTTGTATGGCAATCCTTATGAAACCTATACTCGAATTTCTTCCCCTTCTCCTGCTCGTGCCCGGCGAACGAGTCCGCCACCAGCTTCACACCTGCGGTGGTGTTGGCACAGAAGGCCACATCGTACTTGTCCGGGTCGGCCTTGAAGAGTGCCAGCACTTTCAACCTCACGGCGTTCACTTTGTTCGCTGAGAGCTTCGAGCTGGGGTTTTCAGAATGGGGATTGCCGTACAGGTTCTCTCGGAGATCGGCTGAGATGGTGGCTAGGAGGGATTCGGCATACAGGGTTGTCCCGCTGTGATCGAGATAAGTTTGGTCTGTATGCGGGAGCGGTGTTAGTATGGATGATAGATAGATGAGGGATGGAGGGGGGCTGAAGGGGGGGCGGAGAGATGGGGTGGAAGTAGGTATGATACTCGGAATTCTTCACCTTTCAACTGAGGGTATTCTTTGATTCGAAGTTTTTCAATGTTCGGGTTATAGCCCGGGTTTAAATTGGGCGTTGCCCTGCGCTTGGAGGAGCGGGATCTGAAGGAAGGTGACATTTTTGAATGGTGGTTGTGGTTGTGGTTGTGGTGGTGGTGGTGGTGGTGGTGGTGGTTGGTGGGGGTGGTGGTGGTGGTGGTGGTTGGTGGGGGTGGTGTTTGTACTGGTAGGGAGGGAGTCGTATACGATAGGGAATCGCACACGGCAGGGAACCGCACACGGTAGGGCGGAGAATAGGATGAATGTATCTGAAGTATTCTAACCGATATCGTAGCAAAGCAGGATGAAGATATCTGAAGGGTTATACTAGGCAATAGGGGGACGGAATGCGGGAGCCTTTATACTACCTCTTGATATATCCGGAATGTGGAGGGAAACTATCTGATATTGAGATAGGATGGAGACGATGGAGGGGTATTTATAACCTTGAGTTATCCATCTCCAAACTCAGACCTTAACTCTTCCCTAGAAGAAACATATCGGATAGTTCGGTGTCCGAATCTGCACGAGTGGGATCCTATGATGAGGTATTTTCCAACCCACCACTACCGAGGGCACCATCTCGGAATATGAGCGGGAATCCGAAGATGCCCGTACCGTATTAATCCATTGCGTCCCTCATCTTCCGACCACTGGCCCTTCCTACACTTCTGAGCTCTTTTTTCTCTCCCTTCTGGTACGGAATCCACTCGTGATCCTTTCATCTCCTCCCTCCCCCCCCCTCCCCCGCCTCACACACACACTTACTCACCCCCCTCCCACCCCCCTTCTTCTTCCTCTCCCTCCAATCATGCTTTCGTCCCATCTATCCTACCTCCACCCTAGTTTATTCCGGCATAGATTCTTGTCCTCCCTCCCTTATCCCTTCCACTCCCTACCTGACCGCTCAAGCTCGCCGTCCTAGCCACGCCGAATCGCAATCAAAAAAACAAACAAACTGGGGGCCTTGGGGAATTGTGCTCAGCGTTGATCGAGAGAGAACTGTAACGGATGTCCACTCCCGAGACGAAACAGTGGTTTAGTTTGGGTTGGTTTAGTTTAGAACCCACCTTTATTGGATTATTTTTATTTTTATGTTTCTCTGCTGATGGTCGTACTGTTCCTCATGTTCTCCATTCCCGAGTGCCTGCCTAGAGTATTACTGTCATTACTGTCACCCACCCCGGCCCACCATCACGCTTGGCTAGCTAGAAATCGACCCAGGCGAGCAGCCAGGCAAGAATACGGGCAGGTAGAGGGAGCAACCAGACGAGGGGAAAATGACCAAGGAAGCTTGATTCAGCTACCGTATGGCATGATACGTTACTGTGAGCACACTCCCATCACTGGGCCGTACCTAGCAGTGGTGGTGGTGGTGGCGGTGGTGGTGGCAGTGGCAGTGGCAGTGGTAGTGGTAGTAGTAGCAATAGTAGTAACTATCAGAAGCTAAGAAAAAGAAAAAGGGAAAATGGAACGTTTCACTACTATCATACCTGCACTGGTACTGTGCCGCACCGTACCATAGAAACGCTAACGCTACTGTACAGCGCATACAGTGAGCTCCTCCCTACACACCTCTTCTTCTTCTTGATTCGTATGTTACTAGACGGAACCGGGCAGGTGAATATGTTAGCCTTGGCTTATGTGCGATATCCAGGTGCGTAGGTACCAGAGGCCAGTGCCATGGGTATACAGTCTGTAGGATGGTAGGTATACTGGGTATAACTATGGAACCTGAGCTATGCGATTATGGCGATTACGACCAAGAGGGAAAGGAAATGGAATGGGGAGAAAAGAAAAGAAAAAGAAAGGAAAAAAAATAGAGAGAGAAAGAGAGAGAGCTCACCCTCGTGAGATGTGTTGTCTTGGATCACCCCGACGGATAGATGGAAGGGTCGACTGAGTTACCGACTTACTTATTTACTTCACTTACTTGCTGATTGACTGACTGACTGACCGACTGACCGACCGACTGACTGACGGGTTCGGGACCCACTGATATTGTAATCAGATGTGGGATCATTGTGCGCACAGGGGGCCGGGCACAAACTCGGGGTGAGGCGAGGTGAGTAAGTGATAGAAGGCGGCGGAGCGTGGTGCATCATCGTCATGAAGATTAGCCCGAGTGGGGAGTTATTACGGGTATTGAGTAGACGGAGGGAAGAATTGATGGTGGCGGGGGCATGGAACGGGGGGGTGGGCAAAATATGGGATTTACCTGGGACACACAAGGTATGATAATATGAAGAAAGAGTGAGAGAGTGAGAGAGGAGGGGTGATTTTTTTGACAAGCAAGACATGGCAGCGAGGCGAGTGACTAACTGACTGACATAGGAACACCCTTTTTGTCAGTTCCTGTGATAACCTTTTTGGGGTTCCAGGCGAAACATGTCATTGTGCTGTACCCTATATCACCCAAAAACCCAGCTAGAGGGTTAAACAGAGGGGAGGATATACCCGGAAACGCAGGTACTGAACGTTCTGAAAGAAGATTCCCCCCCTCCCCTTCCCTTCCTAGCCTGCTGCTCCTCCTCCCGCAGCATACCGTAAGTGCTGCCACCACACCGCAGCCTTCCGGAACTGGGAACAAAAACGTTCACTAACCAGAAACAGAGACAGAACCTCTTTTACATCTTCTGCATCTACCCATCCATCCATCCATTACCTTCCTCATCGCTCGTCAGCTGAAAGCTCAAACCGAAACATTGAGCATCCCATCACATACCCATTCCCCATCTCAAATCCCAATCCCAATCCCACTCCATCCAGCCCATTAATTTAGTAAAACCCTCCCCTTCCAAATAATCACATCCACATACCATATTTCCAACCCATATCACGCATCACGCATTTTTAGACACACTCGCACACTTCCGCACCCCCCCCCCCCCCCCGTTCCACCCC